AGAAAAGTATGTGTGCACCCACACAAAGAAAGAATAAGATAACAAGTGACAAAGTAATGGGATAATTGTTAACAATAAGTGAACTTTTTGTGTGAAATTATTCCCAAATAAAAGGTTTAAAAAATTGTCCATCCAAACTGCCAGTTGGTTCTAAACTTCGGACCATGTCCCTAATGTGATAGCTGGTCATCCAGCTCGAAGGAAAGGGTCCTCAGTATCTTATCAGGCAGCCTGTTCAATTGCTGGTAAGCATTTGAAAAAAAGAAATCAACTTGTTGATTTCCTTCACTCATAAGGTTCACCCTGCCTCCTGATGAATTCAAAATAAGTTTTCTCTCTGCACATACTGGAGGCCAGCTGCCACATCTTCTTACTAATTCATATTGTGGGGTTGGGTGTGGTAGAACACGCCTGTGAGCAATAGGAGAGGCATAGGTAGGAGGACTGCTGTTCAAGACTGGCCCTGGACCACCCCTCCCCCCCAAAAAATTCTAAACAACAAAAACTCAAGACCTATCTGAAAAACAACTAAAGGAAAAAAGGGCTGGGGGCATGGCTCAAGGGGTAAAGCACCTGTCTAGTAAGCTTGAGGCCTTGAGTTCAAACCCCAGTATCACCAAAATAAATAAATAAACAAAAATTCATGTTGCAGGCTAAAGGTTCTTGTCAGTGGACACTCCTGTGTGTTTGTGACTCCTCACTGGGATGCATTTTCATTTGACAGTGTTGCTGTTATAAGGCAATACACCCCAGTAAAGACAGCGGTAAGCACATTTAGTTAATTTGCTCCCTCCCCCTCTTCCAACTACTGTCTTCCTAGGTTACCACAACGGCCTCCCAGGGAAAAGCCGTGTTAATGATATGGGTTGACTTTATGATGAAATCAATGCACGTGGCTTTGGTTCACCTCCGATGGGGCCCCAAGGATCTGAGTTACTAAAGTGACCTAATGAAAGGAAGTCTGAATGAGTCTCATTACTGCTGAAATGTTCTGCCTTTCCATCTTTCTCTCTCTCAAACACAGGGCAAGAAGCCCAGCTGATACACAGTGTAATCGGAATAGTTCGTTTGATTCTATGAGTAAGTTGGCTGCTGTGAATTCCCAGCATTGAGAGCCTGGGAGCCCCAGAGAAGGGAGGACAACAGCGCCCTGCCATGGCAAGTTTTAGAGCTGTTCTGTCCAGTTTTCAAAACGGGAAGCGAAGGTGTTTAAGAGACTGACGTGGGGTTCTGTTCATGTCTGATACCCAGACACAACTCTGGAACTCAGGGCTTTTGGCTCAGATGTTGGTACAGGGAACCGAACAAGCAGATGGGAACTGGGGAGCAGTTTTTTCCGTGGCATGCAGGGTCTTCTGGTCACAGTCCAGTGAGAAAAAGTCAAGGCCAATTGCCCTAGGAAGATCTAGAGGGTCCTTTCAGCAAGGTATCAATCCTTTAGCGGAGACAGCGAGCCAGTGACACACAGCCTGCAGGACTCCATGCCTAGCAGTGCCTCTTGCAGACACGGGAAGCCAGCTTTCAGTGTGAACTCACTAGCCATGAAAATGTCAGCTCATGAAACAGCTGCTGCTTTTCAGGGTCAAATAGCTCACATCCAAGGCAGTAGGAGAGGACTGTGTTCTACAAAAGGCATTTTGAGAGAATCTCCAATAATGAGGCCTTTTGATGTAGAGTCACTAATGAAGTTGGGAAGGAAGAGAGAGGAGGGAAGGAGGGGAGTAAAGAGGGAAGAAAGGAAAGGCCTTCCTGTGGGTCTTCTAATGCCAGTCAAGTTGAAAAAACTATCTTGAACTGTGAACATTAAAGGCTTATGACCTGAGCTGCTGGGAGTGACTGACTCACTAGTGACCAGTCCTTCCTTCTGCCCTTTGGCTCAAAGAGCTAAGGAATGGACACTAGCCTAAGAGTTAATCAGGAGGTCTTAGGGACGGGGCCAAAGTCTGGAAGAGTTGAATATTAAGAAAACTACCCTGCTGACCTGATTTTTTTAAGATGTAACCAGATGTAAATCAACTGGGGAAGTCAAAAGGGCATGAAAAATTACCCAAGGAAGTTTGGATGAGGGGCTGGGTATGGCTGGGTATGTGCAAGGAAGTAGGCTGACTTGGCCTGATTTGGTGGGGAAGTTTCATGGCCATGTATACAGGGACTTTTCTTGGCTTTTCCTTGTAAAGCACACTTTGTATTTTAGAGCAGTTTAGGTTCACAGCAAAATTGAAAGGTACAGATTTCCAGTAAGCCCCCTGAGTGCACAAACGCAATCTCCCCATAATCAAACATCTCCTGCAGGAGTGGGTACACTTCTTACAAAATTGGTGAACCTACACTGACACATCGTTGTATCTGGAGTCCAGGGTTCACATTCGGGGTCACTCTTGGTGCTGTATATTTTAAATTTGAACAAATGTTTAATGCATATATCCACCATTATACTATCACACAGAGTGTGATAAAAATCCTGTGCTCCACCTCTTCATTCCTCTACTTGTTCATTGCTGGTACACAGGGAGGTGACTGACTTCTGTGTATTATTAACCTTGTATCCTGCAGGCTGACTTTCCCCCTTTTAAGCTGTGGGTAGCGGCACTTCCTTTCCTCCCTCCCCTGTCTTCCCCGAGTCACTGCTCAGCATCCTCTGTAGGCATGCCCTCTTATCCTCAAACAGGCTAGCTTCCAACGTGATCAGACTTCGGAAAGTTTCTCTCTCCTAGATGGGGAGGGGTGAGGGCATTAACAAGAAATGCTCACCGTCACATGAGGGACTGTAGATTCCTTTGCCACAAAAATGTCCCTACATGACCATGATGGGTGTCAATGAGACAAGAGGATAGTACTGAAAATCAGTATTATAGAACTATTTCCTTTCTTCCTTTCCCTGGAGGAACTATAGACAGAGAAGCAGAGAGAAGAAATGTTTTATCCAAATGTCATGAAAAAAATCATACTTAGGGATGTTCTTTCCCCTGAAAAACCAAAACATATCAAGGTTTGACAAAAATAAAGGTCTCTTCTGAGGTGGCGGGGAAGGGTGTAGGAGGGTGAATATGGTGCAAATACTGTGTGCACATGTATATAAATGCAAAAATGATGCCTGTTGAAACTATTCCAGGAATTGCGGGGGGGATTAAGGAGAGCAGTGGTGGGGTGAAGTCAAGTCACAATGTATACCCAGCAGAAATAATCTTTTCTGCTCAGGAGATTGAGGCAGGAGGATCCTGAGTTTGAGGCCAGTCTGGGTTACATAGTGTGTTCTAGATCAGCCTAGCCACATAGTGAAACCCTGTCTCAAAACCCAACCAACTAAGCAACCCCAACTCCTTTGTCTGAAAATCCTGTGCTCGTGTTTCTGTTTGATACCATGGAAATGCACAGTTGATTGCAGTAAGTGAAAGTATGTCAGGGAAGAGACTGAAGAGTATGTCTATTTTCTTCATAAGCCAGATTAAAAAAAAATAATTCTGACTGGCATTTGCTATGGAAAATTCTTATGAACAAGAAATTCTTTTCTCCAAGATAAAGAATTCACAGTTTGTTAAGTTATTCCTTAATTATAGGCTAATGTAAGTTTTTAGACTTGAGTGGAGTTCATACTATCAAGGGTGTATAGGGATATGGGGACATAAAGCAACGTATAGATCGCATGGAGAAAATGAGCAATAACTCAAAGGCTTGATGGTCTACAAATGACCCTTATGCGAGAAGCCCAAAGCCCCTGACTTAAATCTCTCTGCACAGTCTAGTGTTTCTCAAAGCTAGTGTTTATGGAACTAAATGGTATCAGGGAGCTGTTAAGCCTTGGGAGTTCATAGTTTATGTTTTCCACTTGATAGGAAACAGCTGACCATATTAAAAGTCTCAGAAAGTTTTCCTTTCCAGAACTTGGCTTTTTGAATATGGGTGTCTAAACTAGTTAAATAGAGATTTTTGATTTGCCTCACATAAACTCACTTTAGGTTATAGAATTGGGGGAAATTTCTGGATGGATCACATAACTTCATCCTGCAGACAGAAGCACATTTGCCCACTGATGATATGTTTAGGATAAGTAGACAGCAAACTAAGGTGTAATGATCTGAAAATTTCACATTTTTCCATATCTACCAGTACATCAAGGGCAGCTGAGGATCTATGTGGGTCTGTATATAGCTCCACACTCAGATACATAAACAGGCAATGGTGCATTCCGTTTTTGGGGTGGATAAAACATTTGTTTGACATGTAGAAGAGTCTTTCCTCTGACTGTCAACTTCAGAGAACAATTTTAGATATGATGCCGTTATCCAGTGATGAAACTCAAGATGGTCATCAGTTACAAGAACATTCTGAGTCCATTCCAAAGACCAGAAGGATAGGTATAGGGATTGCCTGGACAATTCGTTTTCAGCTTGACCTCAAATTGGGTTGAGGGTGGCTAGGCAGCCAAAGTGATGTAGAACCAGCGGGCAGAGGATATTTATAAAACACGTTTCCTGATCTGTACAGGTGACACTGACTGCCCATACTGACCTATATTTTTAAAAAACTGATGCTGTTTTGGTAGTGCTGGGGATTGAACCCAGGGCCTTACACAAGCTGAGATACAGCTCAGAATCAAAACTTATTGTAAAAAAAGAAAATGCTTCGAAATGAGAATGGTTTTAGTTCTGGAGCCTAGGGATTCTTTTCTATACTCTTAGTTGAGTAATTTCTCTAGTTGTCCCACCAAAGTCAACACAAAATTATAGTAACTCATACAGTTATATAATTCACAAAATTATATAACTCATAACAAGTACAGAAAGAGGTACCTTATGGTAGCCTGAGCATATTAAATGCTGACATAACAGAAAACCATAGCCTTCTAGATCCAGTATGTACAAGTTTGAAAATATGTATATATTTCTGCTTTAGTGAACAGTTTGTAATATTTAAATTCCATGGTCAAATGCACAAGAAGTTTAATGATGTTATTTTAATAATTCATAGAAAGCACATATGTACACCCAATGAAATCATCTTTATTGCATATTGCTATTTTTTTAAAAAAATGTACAATCTCGTAACACATACAACTTTTTTTCTTGGTACTATAACAACAGTCTTGCACCTAAAGACTAAGTGGTTCCAACTACTAAGCTAGTAAGATACAAGACATATAATTAAGTTTACAAATTATAATGCTTTTTGTTTTTTGGCATTAATTAAAAAAAAAACTAAAAAACTTTAAAATACACACCCAAGAGAGAAAAGTGGCTACTTACACCAGCACCAGTCTAAAAAGTAGTTTTTGTTTTCTCCAACAATGGCACATGGAATTACCTGCACACAGTTTTAAGGGAAAGAAACCAAAACTGGAAATGGCAAAGGAGGCCTACCAGGATGGCCATATCAAAATGGGGATGGTTAAAAAGGGCAAGAGGGACATGGTACACAAACTTGCTTCTTTTTGTGACAGTCCTTCTACTTGTCCATTCCTTAACCTATAAGACAAAGCCACTTTCAATATATAGTTCCAAAATTGAGCCAGACCAAATTTCTCCTGCTATAAAAAGAATATACATAGAGGCACTTTAGTTCAGAAACAGAGAAGAAACATCATTCCATCCTCCTCCTCCTCCTCCTCTCCAAGCTTGTTTGCGCCAAGTCTCCATCTGCACCTTGAACATGTGTATTTGCAGACCTGGGTTAACTAGGAGTTGAGAGAGTGTCACCTCTGTATTTATGACTGCTTTATTGCAAGAGTCATTTACTTCCACATACTGGGTAGAAAGTCGCTAGTTTGTAATGAGGAAAAAAAAATGTAAAAACCACAGCTCTTGACAATTCTTAGAGCACTATTTCACAGCTTTCACACAGCACAGATACCTTGCCATCTGCACTAAGCATTATAAGTTTATACAAATCCTTTTTAAATAGTAAGATTCCTGTACAGTGCACACATTGGCATTCTATGCATTCCTGAAAACCCCTATTAGCAAATAAGCTCCTTGAGGGGCAGGGACTCTGTCTTGCTTATCACTATAGCTCTACTATGCCTGGTACACAGTAGGTACTTAATAAATATTTGTTAGTTGATTGAAAAACTCAATTTAGTGAGTAAATAATGATCTAGTGCAACAGGAAAAACTATTCTTTCCTCAGGAAACCCAACCCCAACAGGACAGATGGAAAGAAAAGAAAAAATGCCAGCCCCCTACTCCACTACAAATAAATAAAGCAAAAGGAAAAGAAGTAACAGTCCTCTTTATCTATCATATAATTTAAGGATATTAAGAGTTGGTAGGCTAATGGTAAGCATCTATATTTTATTTTCTAATGTTCATTGTTTTTATTCATTTCTCCCTGAGAGCTTTATTTTTTGGACTGAAATTTTACAGGTAGCTTTACTGACACACAATTTAAAATGACAACATATAACAGCAAACAACTTCAAATATTCTTAAAGATAAATAGATCTGGGCATCTCTGCAGATGCTGTTGACGTTGGGTATACTCTAAGTGTCCCTTAGTCCAGACCTATATTTACAGAAGATGCGGCTTGTCCTACAAAACAGAAAATAGAAAATACCCCCCAAAAAAAGGCACCCATAAAAAAGTTATTATTGTTTTAAATGGTCTTTATCCTTCCAGGGAATTGTTCCTCTAAGTCTTGAGTGAGAATTTGATTTTTAAGGTGTAGATACCTATATTGTTAGAACAACAAACACATTCTGGCAATCTTGGTCTTTAACAAGGGCATGGGCTGTGTTTAGATAGTTTTTTTTTCAAAAGCAATTTAAAGAAATCATCAAGAGCACTTTGGCAGAAAACTTGATGACATTGGGAGGGGAACTGATGTTCAAGTTTTTAATATGAAAAAGAATTGAGATTGACATTCTACATAATACAAATTGTGTGCAAGATGTTCTCCATAAACATTTACAGACTATCTCCATGTCAACGTCAGAAACTCCAAGCTGGTTTTGTTAATTTAATTGAAGCGATGCACCAGCACCACATTGTCAACCATCAAAAATCATTTTATCTCTATTTTTCCAACTCCATTTCCAGCAACAAAAATAATTTCAAACTATACCAAGCTTGGAAACCATAAAATATTTCACAAGCTTTTTTTTTTCCCCCCCTATTTTCTTTAAAAAGTTTTTTTTTCCCTTTTCCCTTTTTTTATGCTAGGGAATGTCTGTCATCTCTTTCAGGAGATAGTATTGTGCTTCTGAACAGTCATGGTGTTCAGGGAAAGGAAACGAGCCACACTCAATATGAATGCATACACGAGGGTTTCTGAGTGCACGTGAGAACATAAAAGTTATAACCGTACATGTAGATCTCCAGATGACTCTAAGACTTCTATATACACTTTTAATACATATGTACACATACATTTACATAGACACACATTCACACGTTCACTCACAGATGAAGGAACAAATTGCCACTGTTTGGATTGCAAGGCAGTGTAATGAAACGTTCTAGTCACTTCAAAGGACTACTGCTACTGAGCTTGCTAGAAAAGGTTTCAAGGAAAATCAAAAGTTAAGTTTGGTGACTGGTCTCTCTCGGCTGCTGTCCGTCACCTGGTTGGAAATGCGCTTGCGATTCCGTTTCAGTTTAGAGAGATCTTTGTCAAACACTTCTCCTGAGCGTAAAGCTGAAACGAGGTCATCAAACTCCCCACTTTCTTCACTGTTCTCTTTTGCTTTTCTCATTTTACGTTCCCGTTCCCGTTGTTCTTTGAGCTGCAGATAGAAAGAAACCTCTCAGGTGAGGGTTCAAATGTGCTTTGTTTCAATGGAGAAGAATTCTGTGACATGTGGTAATGATCTATTCATACCAAGCCATGTTCATCTGTTCATCTTAGGGGTAAGTGAGACGTGAGGTCTCACTGTAGAAGCAATGAGCAATGAAAAAAAAATGACCCTCACTATCCAGGTTCTAGGTGAACTTCATTATATTCTCACTGAAGAAAAGAACAATTAAGGCAATTTGTGTTCCTTTATTAGAAAAAAAAAGTGACAGTAATTAAATAGACCCTGATATTGGTCTCTCTATAGTATAGAGACTACTCCCCTTACATCAAAGGTTTAGCCTATACCTATCTTTGATGCTTGGAACAGGTTACTACTGTTAAAAGCCAAATAATGTCTATATACTATAGAAAATCTTGATAATTCAGATCAACAAAAGGGAAAAAATAAAGTATCCTTAATTGTAGTACCAAAAGATAACAATTTTGAACTTTTGTGGATTATCTACCATTATTATTTTCTACATTAATGTTTATTTTTCAAACAAAAGATTTCATGTAGAAATCAATTTTGTAAGTTCTTTTGAATGATTATTCTTGGAAGACATGACTTCTAAAATTTGCACAAATATTCCAGGAGGTAGCTATTGTGTTAATTAGAACCAATGCCTACTGGTAAATCTTCAGGTTGTGTCCAGATTAGAACTACCATAAAGAATGCAACTGTCTTTATGCAAATTTATGATTATTTCTGCAAAAGAATTTCTAAGAAGTATAATTCCAGATCAAAGGTAATGGATATATTTGTTAAATCTTTGGTTATATATTGTCAGTTGCCCAAAAGAAACATTCTAAACAACATAGCCATTTGCTCCTTCTTGCCAGCACATCAGAGTGCTGCTTAAAAAAACAAGGGATTGGGGCTGGGGATTTAGCTCAGTAGTAGGGCACTTGCTATTATGCTTAAGGCCCTGAGTTCAATCCCCCAGCACCACCAAAACCACAGGCAGAGTGGTTTACGTGGTAAGTGACTGCCTAGCAAGCGTGAGGCCCTGAGTTTAAACCCCGATGCTGTCAAAACCAGAACCAAAACAAAACCAAATTTTGTTTCTGTGTAGCCAGAGAACTTCCAGGAGGTGGGGTTTCCCAGTGACCCCACCTCACCTGTGCTTCCATGCGAGCACGACGCTCCTCTTCCTCCTTCTTCTTCCTCATGTTTTCATTCTCTTGTTTTGCTTCTGACACAGCTTGAAGAAACTGATCAAAAATGCCAAAGAACTCATCTGGCTGTATTTTGCCAGCCTCTTCCCCAAAGTGTTTCACTGCTTTAGTAAACTGGGAAAACAAAAGATGATTTTAAGAAGTTCAGTGCTAGAGCTGGCATGGTGGCTCAAGTGGTAGAGAACTGGCCTGGTAAGCATGAGGCCGTGAGTTCAAACCCCAGTACCACCCCCCCCAAAAAATAAAAAAAAGTTCAGTGCTCTAAGAGAATTCAGTGATCAAACAGCATCTCTCTACAAGGACTAAAGCTCAAATGAAGTAGAATATAACTTGATGGATTTTAGTGAGCCTGTATTTATCTTCAGCTGCTGAACATATCTATTAATCATTTCTAAAGTAAGAATTTTAATAGTCCTCAACTTTTGAAACCATTCATTCCTGTCCACCTCATTTCAGCTTAACATCTATGATTACCTCCTATAACTTTTTATTAACCAAACAATAGTAAAAACAAGAAAGCAAAGTATCGTAGGGCAGAACACCCAAGACACAAAAACTAATAGCAAACTCAGCAGGGGTAGGAAACCTTGTACTTTTAACTTTTCTTTGAAGTAGTTTGACATCATTTATTAGTGCCATATGGTGAATATAGAAAGCAAATGGGATTCAGTACTTCTTAGCTGCTTTTCCTAATTATAAATAATGTTAGTGTTGTTATATTTCTCAGGCCCTAATTAGAAAACACCAATTGGTTATAGAATCACTAATGCAACCAAAAGTTTTTGAATGACAATACAACTGTATTCCAACAGAGGGCTCAGAAACCCTTTCAATGCTACCTTTCTAAAACTGCCAAAATGGAAAACATTAAGGGGGAATTTAAAAAAATGCAAATAAAAACATACAGTCACAAAATAGTAATGTCCAATCTCCTTTTTTAAAAAAAAGTTTTAACTGTTTCTGTTTTTCATTCTCCCAGTGGTTACTTTCATAACTCCAGACAGTATGCTTTCAACTGTGCATTATTGCGACAAAACAAATGGTGTTCGATGCTGATCAGGTTGTTAGTGTTACACTTCTAGGATCTATGCTGTGACTCCTAATATATCAGTATTCCTAGGTTCAAAGTCAAATGGATTCTCTTTCCCTATGCCTAAGCAACTACTTAACACTCTCCAGGCTTTTTATTTTCTTCATATTTAGGCCATGACAGGTTTTTGCAGTCCTCTTCCACTCAGTTTCTAATTGATTTTATATTTCTTACTTATCTTGCATTTACTATGTTGTTAAGGTTCTCTGATATTTTGTTATTGCCATGTACTTAAACAATGTTTTCAATATTCTCTAATTAAATAATTTTAACTAAGATACATATTTTGTAATTATTATTTCATATTTTTCCTAGCATTTTTCTCTTGATGTGGAATTGTTTTCAGTGTTTTACTTCTTTGGAAATATTCTATTACAAAAGAGAGCTCTTTGGGGAAAAACAACATTTTTCACACACCACATTATAGTGCTCCAGCTTGCTCCGTGGTTTTATAAGCTAATTTCTAAAAGATCTGGTATGAAGAAAATAGCAATAAACAGTCTACAACTGAGTTCCTAAAACATTCAAGTTCATGCACTTCAAAACCATCCCGAATGATCTTTTTATCTAGGAATTCTAGTGAATATGAAATCATGTATATTTTAGCCTTAGAAATCTGATGGAAACTCAGGCCAGATTAAAGTTCCCATGCAAAATACATACAAAAAGGAGGCTTTGTACATGTGTATTTAAGAACTAACTATCTAACTGATTTTTACAGAGATGTTTGAGCTCCTCGGTGAAGTAGGTATTATGTTGGAATATCAGAGCAGGGAGACTTCTTCCTTCACAAAGTGGTGGGGCTGACAAAAGACATGGACTGGGCTTTCACTGTGAAGGTCTGGACCATGGCTGTTGAGGTTGGACCTCTAATAGCAGTCATTTGGACATATATTATCCTCTCATTAATTAAGAAAGGCTGGAGAGGGAGGTTAATGTTGAGACTGGCTGATATTTGTTAATACAGACCACTTTTTATCTTGAAGTAGGATGTGTGGAACTAGTATGTATGCCCTTCCATGACTAGTTATCCATAATGATATCTAAGCAAGCAACCACAGAAAAAAATGACATCCATTACTTGAGTTTTGAAGGAGAGTGTAGTGTCAACTAAGAGATGTACACTGTGGAAGAAGTTGGTGGAGTAGGGTACAGGCTTCATACCATTTATTTACAAAAGGGAGAGAAAAAGTATCTTATTTTTTTTTAAATCTCCTTTTTAATGAGACTGTGAACTAAAATATATCTTATTTAATAAGTTCTCCTGACCCTCTTACACTGTTGGTGGGAATGTAGACTAGTACAACCACTCTGGAAAAAAATTTGGACGCTACTTAAAAAGCTGGACATCGATCTACCATTTGATCCAGCAATACCACTCTTGGGGATATGCCCAAAAGACTGTTACTCCAGAGGCACCTGTACATCCATGTTTATTGTGGCACTATTCACAATAGCCAAGTTATGGAAACAGCCAAGATGCCCCAGCATTGACGAATGGATTAAGAAAATGTGGTATCTATACACAATGGAATTTTATGCAGCCATGAAGAAGAACGAAATGTTATCATTCGCTGGTAAATGGATGGAATTGGAGAACATCATTCTGAGTGAGGTTAGCCTGGCCCAAAAGACCAAAAATCGTATGTTCTCCCTCATATGTGGACATTAGATCAAGGGCAAACACAACAAGGGGATTGGACTATGAGCACAAGATAAAAGTGAGAGCACACAAGGGAGGGGTGAGGATAGGTAAGACACCTAAAAAACTAGCTAGCATTTGTTGCCCTTAACGCAGAGAAACTAAAGCAGATACCTTAAAGCAACTGAGGCCAATAGGAAAAGGGGACCAGGAAATAGAGAAAAGGTTAGATCAAAAAGAATTAACCTAGAAGGTAACACCCACGCACAGGAAATCAGTGTGAGTCAATGCCCTGTATAGCTATCCTTATCTCAACCAGCAAAAGCCCTTGTTCCTTCCTATTATTGCTTATACTCTCTCTACAACAAAATTAGAGATAAGGGCAAAATAGTTTCTGCTGGGTATTGGGGGGGGGGAGCAGGAGGGGGTGGAGTGGGTGGTAAGGGAGGGGGTGGGGGCAGGGGGGAGAAATGAACCAAGCCTTGTATGCACATATGAATAATAAAAGAAAAAAGAAAAAAAAAAACATTCAAAACTGTAAAAAAAAAAAAAAAAGTTCTCCTGGAGATTTACAGAGCTACTACATTTTATATAAAAGATACCGAGACATGTGGCTTTAGCCACACCTCCTTCTGGCTTTCCTAATCTACCTCTTAGTTCCCAGAGGTGAGCACTTCAATCCAATAGCAACCAAGGAAAAACTGTCATAGTGCTTTTTCTTTCTTTTTTTTTTTTTTCAACTAGTTTTACACCATTCCAAATTTTGGAGGTCTTGTTAATCTAAAGGCAACTCAGGCCAGTTAGATGAGGGTGCGTTTCAATTAATCATAGTTCTGGAGATGAAAATCCAACTGTGTTATACAAAACAATGCAAACTAGAAACCAACTATCTGGGGCTTTATTTCCTGACTGTGATGCTTGGATCCCATTCCTGCTGTTTCCTGAATAGCATAATGTCTGTTCCAAATGAAACCCCAGCTGGGTCAAAGAGCTCTAGTGTGCCAGGGAAAATTTACCAGGTCTTTAGCTTCTGCTAGAAGATCTTCAACATCGGAGAAGCTGAAGCTGGCAACGGTGATGAACTGGCTGACAACAGACACAAATTTATCCCCGGGCTGTGGGGGCCGAGACTTCTGATATTCCAGTTCCTGAAACACAGGAAACGGATAATGACAGCGTAGGCTTCCAATACAGACACACCTTGTCTTCTATTCCATATGCCTCAAACCGAATTGCTCAGATGGCAAACACATCTAAAATGTTTTGTGTGAATCTAGCTTTCCCTGCCCTTCCTCCTTCCATGCTGGGGTCATGCCCATGTGCGTGGAAATAGTAATTTAACCAATTATCTGAACACTTTATCAATGTGAGTTCTCATTCTGGCTTTAGAGGATAAGCAAATTAGCATTTGGATACAATTAATAGAAGTCAAATAAATTAGGGCAAATTGGATTCAAAGGGTTTTTGAGTGAAAAAAAATTTTGATGGTTGATACTCTGAGCTCAGAATTCTGGTGTTTTGATTTTTTTCTTACTTCTCAGCCAAGTTGACTTACATCCTAAACCCTGGTGTCTAGGGCAGTAGGATCTGAACTACAGCATTTGGCACCATCATCATCTACCATTTTTCTTCTTGCCTATTCCAATAAGTTTCTGTGAATAGGTAGGTAAATTTTCACATTCTCTATTACCATGGTGAACACACAGATGATTCAAGTCAAATTTCAATAATTAATTTCAACCACGGCCAGATGTACTTTCTTATTTATTGTCTCCAACACCTCTATGAGAGGCATCCTAATCCCCACAACACAGGAATACCTTAAGGTTTAGAGGTATTTAATTCTTTGCCCAAAGTCAAAAAACTGATCAGTGACAAGGCAGAATTTGAACTCGGGTGTGCTTGCCTCTAAAGTCTCAGTAAAAACTATTCTGTAAACCTGACATAAATGGATCACCCACCTGCACCCCTGCTTTTGTTCTTCATCTGCTTTGGCAAACATACCAGCAAGCAGGAGCGTAACAGTCACAGGCTATGGGTTCTGACTCAGCTCTGCCACCAATTTGGTTCTTACCAATAGCAAAATACTCTGGGCCTCAGTGTCTTCATTTTTGAAAGGAGAACAATATTCATGCCACCATGAGAATGAAATGAAATAACAGAACTGAAAACTCGTATTAATTCTGGAGCTGGCTCTGATTGGGAGAAATTGCCACAGGTCTAGTACTTTGGCCCAGAAAATGAATATTACATGTGTTTTGGGTATAGGGATGGGAAAGTTGTCTTAAAGCGTTTCATTAACAGATCATTTCATAAGAATTCCCTCTCTGATACTTCACACAATATAATCAATTTGGACAAAGCATAATCAGGATACATGAATATTTGTACAGGCCAAACTTTGTCTCCCAATGTTTTCTTTCAGGACTACATCTTGACATTTAAGCTGCCAGGGGATCAGAAAGCTTCTTTAAGTGCCCTTCTAGTGAAGAGCATGTTACAGTATTTATGACCCAGGGGATGCCGAGATTTCAGCAACACTGTCCTTTAATAAACCCGAAACACAGAATGTCCTAGGAACACTGACCTCCCCCCCAATCCTAGTCCTGATGTGACCTGAGAAGCTGGGGGCAGGGTGCCCATTATCAGGCTTATGGATATCATAACCGCCATTCTACTCTCAAGAAAGTGTCCCTGGAGACAGAAGGCAACTGAGCAAAGGTTATCAAAGAAGCCTCGCCAAAATGTCCTGCTTCAGCCTAGCCTTTCTGAGAGCCGTGAGGAACGGTCAGGTGTTCTTGGCTCTGGGCACACTGGTACTGGGAGAGACAGAGTTTATATTATTTTGTCTCCTTTCAGCCCCAATCCTCTCAAAACAAACACACACACAAACAAATTTACCTTATATAGGCATATTTATAGAAAACAAAAAATTAGGCATTATGATTTAAATTTTAGTAGCAGTATATGTTTTTTTATTTTTATTCATTTTTTTTTTGGTGATACTGGGGTTTGAACTCAGGGTCTCATGCTTACTAGGCAGGTGCTCTACCACTTGAGCCACACTGCTAATGCATAACTACGTTTTTCATGAATTCTAACTATACTCTCTAGGCATAGTTTTGTGATTACAAAAAGAAGGGAGGATCCCATGGCATTGATAGCTGCCTGCGAATCAGGATCTTTCACCAAGCACAGATCAGAGCTATGTCTTCCTCCTGAACGAGGCTACCAGTGATCACTCTGCCAGCTGGTTCTCATCCCTGGCAGTAGCATTTGTGCAGTTCCCACATGGCACTGCGCTAGCACAGTCTTGTTTCATTCCTCTAACTCCTCTCTGTGTCCTGTACCAGGGGCAGCCTCCCTCCTATGTGCCTAAAGTCACCTCCTTCTAAGCCATTGCTCAAAGTTCTCCTCTAGAAGAGGTACTGCCTCTAGAATGTGCCAGTCATTCTACAAACCTTCAGACCACCCTCAATCTAGCCCTTTCCTCCTGGATATCTGTAATCACAGTACTTATCTACAAATGGCTATGCCGAAAGAACTAGCTTCTCTTGATTGTTTCGACATTGGAGGTTAGGGATTCTGAATTGCCTTGAGTACAGCCCATATACTCAAGTGACTACTCAGTAAATTCTTCCCAAAGGACCAGCTCGAAGGCACCAGAGAAGTTCTAATGCTCTACTGAAAGTAAACATCAAATATTAATAAAACCTAGAAACAGAGAGGGTCCTTGAAGATCAGTCCAGCTCACTCATTTTAACAAGGCTGGCCTCCCAGGCAAATTGGAGGCACTCCAGGACCAGTTCCAGCAGTGACCCACCCATGACACCACCCAGCTGCCTGCAATCGAGTTGCCCGGCTCGACACAACCTGCCTTTGCTTCTTTCTTGGTGGTTGTTCTTTTTTTGGAATCAATACAGACATCTGTTCTGGGCAGACCACATGCCAAGGCAACCAAAGACTCATGTGCTAGGAGTCACCAGCATTAGCGATAGTGAAGAGACTAAGAATTAGAACAGGAAGCAAATACTCACTGTCTCTACTGCTTTCAAGCCACTTCTCAAGGTACTTATTTCTTTGTCCAGCTCAGTCATGCTGTTGTAAATAGCAACATTTTAGTAATAGTATGTCACTTACATGTATTAAATACATGATGGCTTTAAATATTTCTTGCTTCGAAGATGATACCAGTTTGTTTTAAATGCTTTTTTAAAAAAATTCTCTTTCATGCTCTTATGGAGTTCAGGTTTAGAATTACGCTTTTTGTATTCCACAGTCAGCAGGTATATTTTACAGGTTAAAAATAGCAGACAAGAAATGTGTCCCCTGTGTACAAAAATATTTGATGTTTCAATTTCAAAAAAATTTATCTTCAGCAAGTCACTATATGTAGAAATAAAGTTCTTGCCAAACGTGGTTCTCTTTGAGAAACTAAAAGAAACTGGCTTATCCATGATCACTTTCACACTGCATTCTTCATAATCAGTAAAGAAGGCCCTAACAGTATGTGGACATTACAGCGTAAATTACATTAAGCTTCAATCAGCAATGATTTTTCTTAAAGTTGTACTAACTAGTTTTCACTTTTATGACTTTTCTTTTTTAATAAAGAAAGATTCAGGGCTTCTGCTACCATGTTTCTATTTCACAGCTCTAAAACAGAGATTAAAACTTAATTCTCATGGATGAGTCACAACATACAAAGAAACTTAGCCGTACTTCATTTACTTTAATATTTTCATTTCATAGAGTATGAATTCTAGAGAGGGAAAAATTAGCCAGCTCATCATACTTTTCAACTTCACTGCAAAAGATGCAGCTTAAATATATGAAAAAAAGAGAGCACCAGGAAGTAGGAGGGAAGAGCTGTAAGGAAAATTTTGCTTGCTCCCCATTCTCTGAAACGTGGTGTAAAGTTTGTGGTAAAAGTCTGGCAACTTTCCATTGTATTTTTAGTTTCCTGATTTACATAAAGACTGCTTCCCATTAAAGGGTTGCCTTGGTTTCAGAGAGTGTGTGTGTATGTGTGTGTGTGAAAATCACCAGCAACACCCGTACATTCAAACCTTTTATTTGCTTAACCATGTAACCTCCTTTAGCTTAGCATGCTCCTACCTATGTTTTACAGAATCACTTTTCAAAAGCATTCCTCTCTTATACTCTCAATAACTCAGAACATTAGATTTTGTGAAAGTTAAAAATCACACGTGGCAGTAAACAGTCCAAAGGACCTGGAACAAATACATATTCAAAACACATTTTAATGATTTGCATATGATTCAAACTTTACTCTGTATAACATTCAGAGGAAAACAGTCAGAAGGACCCACTTCGTGGACTGGCCTTTACACAGTGCCAACTAACCACCTCAGTGGTGAACCTTGAGTCCAAGCAATTTGAAAACCAAATGATTCGCAGTGAGTACTTACTTTACTTTTGCTGCTTGAGGAATATCACGCAGTTCTTCGTTTAGATTGAGAACCTTGGGGTATTTATTTTCCACAATAGTTATTAGATAGTGCAAAAGGGTAATGTTCCTACAGTTAGAAGGAAGAACATTCAACATGATTAATATAAAAGTTCCTAGCAAGCAGAATGGGGTGGGGTAGGCAAGGAGAGAGGGATTTTAATCCGCTGAAAGAGAGCAGCTATTTTCAAGTCTAAAAGTACTCTTCAAGTCTGAAGAGCAACTCACTGATGATAAATATTGATAATTCCTATTTAAAATTTCATCCAAAGGTGGTCAGAAAGTTAGAAAGTCCCCTATTTCAGGACTGACCCTGGAAATGGGTCGTAACTGTGCCATCATGTATGTGATATCCTTACAGCTATGAATCCACTTCTAATTTTAGTAACACTTCAGCTTTTAACTGCATGACTCTTAGTAGTTACCAGTTGGCTGTGCCAATTCCCTCACTGGTGGTGACAGGGCTGAACCTTGACTGATCTGGCCTGAAAAGGGGGTGTCTGATAACACTATCAGGCAAAGCTGTGTTAGTCTGGTCCTGTTGTCACCAGCTCTGTTGCACATTACAATCACATGGACTCCAGATGCCTGGGCCAACCCCAGAGATTCATTAAATTGGAATGAGGTGGGGCCACGCGTGGGTACTTGTTAAAACTCCCTGATGATTCTAATATACAGCCAGGGTCAAGAACTACTAATCTATTAATGTTACTGTAATCAGGAGGATACAAATGCATTTCCTGAAGAACATTTCCAGAATTTAGGCAGTTTGCTAATTTACAAGGTTAAACTGCAATACTCCCACCCATCTCTACCAACAGGAATCAGAACCATCATACAATTTTCTTTTCCATAACAATTGAAAGCATTTGATTGCCTTTGTGGCTTTGTAGAGAAAATACAATCCTATTCCTGAGTCAAGTGCTCAAAAAAAAATCTTTTATTTTTCTCCCTCCCAATAATTAGAGAACGAATGCCCAGCAAAGCAAACCAGTGGTCAATAATTCTGGCCACTTATGGTCCTTGTATTCAGATGCATCTCTCTATTTTGAGTTTTGCAATTTGCAGAACTCCTGTCTGCCCTCCTGCCTGTTACCAAAGGGGTCAGGGGAAGGAACAAAATGCCAGCTATCATCACAAAAAAGAGTATGTTATTTTTCTTCATAATTTTAGAGAAATACTTTATTTCAAGATAATGAATATATGTGCCTTTCCTACTGTAGAAAGGCTTAGAACCAGGTCAGACATTGCACATTTGTTTGCTATCCAAATAACACCTCGTTTGCTTAAACACAAATTTATATATATATATATTATATATATAAATATATATAATATATTTACATAATATATATATAATATATATATATATTTTTATTCACATGTGCATACAATGTTTGGATCATTTCTCCCTCCTTCCCCCCGCCCCCTCCTTTAACCCCCCAACCCCTCGCTACCAGGCAGAAACTATTTTGCCCTTATCTATAATTTTGTTGAAGAGAGAGTGTAAGCAATAATAGGAAGGACCAAGGGTTTTTGCTAGTTGAGATAAGGATAGCTATACAGGGAGTTGACTCGAATTGCTTTCCTATACATGTGTGTTACCTTCTAAATTAATTCTTCTCAAACTAACCTTTTCTCTAGTTCCTGGTCCCCTTCTCCTATTGGCCTCAGTTGCTTTAAAGTATCTGCTTTAGTTTCTCTGCGTTGAGGGCAACAAATGCTATCTAGTTTTTTGGGTGTCTTACCTATCCTCATACCTTCCTTGTATGTTCTTACTTTATCATGTGATCAAAGTCCAATCCCCTTGTTGAAACACAAATTTTTGAACAATGAACAAATGAATACCACACATTTGACTCATTCCTGGTGGTTACCAGGAACTTGAGTCTTCTATTCGGAATGAATGCCTCTTGGTGTTGACTATGCCACTGCTTACATAGTTTGATTGGACTCAGTAGTACAAGTGCTGAATGAGTGATTGGTTACTGGCAAGGCACTCAGCTATACATTTGTGGACCAAATATTCAAAGGCAGAAAAAAAAAAGAGGAAAAAAGATTAGAAATAGTTTTGATTTATTCATTTAAAAAAGCTTATACATTAGATAAATTCTGGGACTGGCAAAATGGCTCAAGTGGTAAGAGCACCTGCCTAGCAAGTGTGAGGCCCTGAGTTCAAACCCCAGTGCTGTTCCCCCCCTCCAAAAATAGATAAATTCTATAGCAACCTCAATAAGCAGAGAATCCCTGTAAGTACCAGGCTATCAGTAAGGTGGCAGGCAGGGTTTCACTTTTGTGGTTTTTTGTGCTGCACATACAATTAAAGAGAACATTCTAATGGGCACTGGTGGCTCAAGCCTGTAATACCTAGCAACTTGGGAGGATGGAGGTTCAAAGCCTGGGCAAACAGTTTGTGAGAATCCCATCTCCAAAATAACAAGAAGGAAATGGACTAGAGGTGTGGCTCAAGTGGTATAGTGCCCTGAGTTCAAACCCCAGTCTCACCCAAAAAAAAGAATCTTCCTTAAAAAGTTAACTCGTGTTTATATGCAAATAAGAGGCCAAGGTCCCTAGTACAACCTGTAAATAAGATCCACCAGTTGGGAAGAGTAGGTGTGAACTGACCAACAGAACAGGTGTTAAATGCCTGTGAGGTCAAATACCTAGTTTATGACCTCAGGCGAGCTAAATGATCCACTTGATGCTGCCTCAGTTTCCTTATCTGAGGATAGGTGATAACAGATTTTCCTCCTCAGATAGGCTGTTCTGAGGAGGAAATGTGAAAAGTGCTCTGAAAAGATTCAAGGGCTCGCTCTTCATCACTCTACTTCTCCATCAAGCAGAAATAACAGCTCAACACATTGCTAGGATGGATTGAGGGAGGGCTGCCATGCACTTTGCTTCACCAACCCTATAGAAAATATAGGTCCAAAAGCCCCATTAGCTAGGAATAATTAGGGTGAACAGCCTACATTTCTAAAAAGGATTTGGGTACAGAGAAGTTTACCTTAGCAACAACTGTGCAAGTTCCTTTGAAGCCAGTGAGAACCACTGAAAAACAAAGCTCTCAAGGAAACTAGTGACCCTACCTGTTAATGACACAAAAGGGTATTTTCACATCTTGGTGTTTCTATCCAGAATCTGTGTTCTTAAACTGTAGTGCTATACACTTTCTAAGAAGCATTTTAATAACTCATTGGATGAGCAACTGATTACCAGCAGCCAAAGTGCATTTATATAGCTCCAATAGCTTCAATATGTGAAGGAAAACATAACTTAAAAAACCCAACAAGCTCCACATTCAATTTTCCCTCTCTTTGGAACACAATTCTCTGTGGAGGGATAGTTACTAGCTGGGTCATGAGGAGACTTCAAGAAAGCTAGTAGTATTCTGATTCTTGATTTCAGTCACATAGGAGAGTTTATTTTGTCAAAAATTCATCAATTTTCATAAAAATATTTATGGTCAGTGATCTCTTCAGCTTATTATACTGCAATCTAAAATTTTACTTCCCCCCCAATAATAAAAGGCAAGACCAATAAGAGCAAATTTAAATAGACAGTGTCTGGATTATACTGAAAATGAATGAAAAGCCTTTGCCCCACTGGGAGTTTGAGAGATGCTATGGTTATGAGAAAGGAAAAAGGAGTCAATGTAGGAAGAGGAGAACATTGAGAGATGTTCAACCTAGAGACTGCAGTGTTATGGTGACTGAGGAAGACCGAAAGACAATTTAAGTCCTACTTGAGCACTCAGATCCTCTGAGTGTTGGAAGATAACACACTTACTTGTCAATACTGGATTTTGTGTCAGCAATTTTGTTGAGGCTGGATATCTTGAATCCATAGGCATTGCCTCTTTGGCCTTTATTCATGTAATTTCCAAATGCCAAAACCACTTCTAGCAACTGCTTGAGGGCACCACTCCTAAATACCTCTTCTGAGCCAGAACGAATTGCTTGAAAACAAAACCCAGAAAAACACAACATTTACAACCAAGACTTTCAGTGATATCCAGCCTAAATTCACGTACTGTCACAGATACAAGAGATGTAAGATTGGGTCATTAGACTGCCAGGGAGCACTTGCAAAACACCTAACCTAGAAGCAAAGCAGAAGGGCACTGCTAAAGTGGTTGATGAGTCCACAGATGGTGGCAGATTCCTCTCCTTTTATAGTGCTTTCTGGGCTGACTCACCAACCTTAAGCATTTAGGAATACATAGAATAGCAATTCTATTTCCAACATTCCTTTGCAAATGCTCCCTTGCCTGGTGTGAGTCACATCAACAGGATTACTGATCAATCCCACAGACAGAGAGAACTGGTCACATTTGTTATGTGTTACAGCTAGCAGGTCTCTGGTTTGGAGTCGGCGCTCAGTCAGACTCAATCAGCAAATGTTCTGCAGGTATCCTCCTCATTGGCCTTATACATGTCTCAAACATCGAAAAGTTTAACAGCCTTAAATCCACACTTAGACAGCTGTAATCAAGCCTTGTTGCAAGAAAGCTAATCAGAGGCTAATGTTAATAGTGGCCAAATTCTTTCCTTAGCTACACCCATGTAGTCGAAAGGCCAGCCCCTGCAGCGTCCAGGAAGTATGCTGGGGGCTCAAGAGCCCAGGCCAGGCCAGTGTGCCAGGTGCTAACTTTCAGTAAACATTCATCGGCATTTCCAAAGATTTTAAGACATCATCAGCACTTGGATGGAACTCGTACATGGGCACTTAAGACAAACATTTTCAAGCTTGGCAGTTTGACCTTACCTTCCACTTTGGGCTTTACTTCTGCCACGCGCTCTGCAAACTTCTTCTTGAAGTATAGCGATTGCAATCTTTGCTGATAATGATTAATTCTGTAAAAGCAAGCATGGACTGATTAACACTCACTTGACTTGAGAGTCCATTTTTGTCTGACCTGTATTTGGGCAATTGCCCCAGGTCCCTTAGCTCTAGCCAAATAATGCAACTGCTAAAGAAAGTGAGAGCCAGTGGCTGTTGACTAAAGCCCTCTTCCTTCCCTCAGGGTGCCAGCAGCTCTTGTAAACAGAGAAAAGATGAAAAGGAATAAAAATGCAAAGACTCTCCATTGTACTGCAAATAAAGAACAATTCAATACATTTTCCTCTCAACTTTTTATGAAGTTTGGCCTTTGGCAAAACTGTAAAAGTTTGTCTCTATCCTCCCCCCATATCGTCTTCATACTCTTGTCTCCAAATATCCCCTTTTCTTCACAGTCAGCTCTTTTTCTGCTCCCCGCAGGGCTGGGAAGCTCTGCCTTTCCTGATAGCAACTAAGGGGAACAGGGATGCACATCAACTTCAGATCAGCACCAAGCCATTGGCTCTTATTTCTGGGGAGCTGTGGTGGACATTGCCACCCAAGGTTCTGAAATCAATGCTTAACCTGCTCATGGTGGCAGTTTCAGTCCAGCAGGACCAGGGATTAGTCCCTCCTCCGAAACCCTATCATATAATCAAACAGACCTGGGTTTGCCACCCAGATGTTCTCTTACTCGGTGACCTTACTGAACAAGTGCCATGACTCCTCTGAGTCTTGTTTTCCTCCATGGTAGATGGAAAAGAATACCTCTCACCTTAAAGTCCCTCCAGGCAAGGGTGATAGGAAGGTTAAATGGAAGACATGCAAAGATCCAGATGCTTAATAGGTGGCATCTACTGCATACTGCAGGTAACCACTCGTTTGTCTACGCTAGAGGTTGTAGGATATACTTGTGGGAGTTTCAAAGCCATCCTTTGTTGTATACAAAATGACAAGTTGTGATGCAATAACAACAACAAAAAAGTAAGTCTGACAATGCAGAAATGGAGGGTGAGAGACTGTTCCTCCTGGCTGCATTTGCAGGCTGCTGGCACTGAGGGAAAGGGCTCTGCCCTGAGGGTCACTTAGAATTTCTAGACCACTGGTCCTTCTGTAATAAGGAACTAATCTGCTAGGCCTGGAGTGGCAAGCAGACTCAGCTCATATGCCGAACCCAATTATGGAGCAGTGGCTACCACATGGCTTTCTGGAACATGGCTGAGAAAGCTTGCCAAGACCATGTGGGAAGAGTACCATGATTGATTAGTGATGTCTGCACGTGTCACAAGCTGACATTCACATCCTGGCTGTTCAGTTATGGGGACTCGGGGTCGATGTTGCCAGAATCTGTCCCCTCCTTCTATTTTATAACGAGAATCTGTCACCTCCTTTCTATTTTATAATCTTGAGATGCCAAGGTACTAGAAACAAGAGATACTATCCTAAGAAATCAAAGTGGTGAGGAGAGTGACACTGACTGGAACTAGGAAAAGTTATGACTTGATAACTTTGGCACTTGAGCCAAAGAGGACCAGACATGGAAATAGTTGTGAAGAGACCCTGATCCTGGCTTGCACCTATGGGCAAGAACTCCCACAACAAAATAATCAAGTTCCACACAGCTCAGACTTGGAGAGATTTTAGGATCTAACAATGCTTTAAGTGAAGCTAGGTTAATTGGCCGAGCAACTTAATATGAACTGCAGGTTTAGCTTCCTTTTTCAGCATCTCTAACTCACCGGCTCATCTCAAAAAGGAATCGATCAGCCTTGGCCATCCGATCCAATTCATGCTTATGTTCCTCCAACAGGTCAATATCACTTTTTTCAGGAACAAACTTCAAAAGCTAAAAGTACACACAAATATTAAAACTGAAGTTTATAAGTTAGAGCTCTGCAGTAAGCTTTCACCTTTCAGCTAATTGGTCCAAAGATGAAATTTTAACTTTTGTTTAACTTAGAAGCTCTGCTCACAGGTGACTCAGACACAACAAAACTGATTAAATATTTACATTTTTACTTGAAAGTAGTTAAATTGGTCTGAAACTCATTTCGGGTACCTTTCTATTCTTTACTGCCTTTCAAGTAAGAATGGTGGAAGTCCTCTACCAGGATCACTTTGCATAGAACATTTCATGAATCTTAGAGACTCAGCCCTCTCATTAGAAGATGATACAACTGAGGTCCAGAGAAATCAAGCAACTTACCCAGGATTACAAAGCGAGTGTGTGTAATCATCAGAAATAGAACCTAGGTGCTTTTGACTCCAAGCTCCATGCTTTTTGTTTTTAAATTACATCAGGATGGAATAAATAATTTATATTTCCCATTCATTTGCTTGTTTTTTTGCTTATCTAATTCCATTTCCTTATTGCTTCATGCAGAGTTGAATGAGGAACACAGTGTGATCTGGTACTTTTGATTCCATATTTTATTTTTGAGGTAAAAATGAGCAGGGGACACAGAAGAAATATCAACAACTTTTTAAAAAGTACTTCTATACATATCTGACTGCCTTTCAAGGCGCATGTATGCTATTTTCTAGATCAAATGCCCTTGGAGTTTTTTTTAAATTACACTGACTTTGAATTCTGAGAGCCTCTCCATAACTTGATGCTGGCATTGGGTAGTCCATTGAATAGATTTTTCAAATGTTGGATTTAACTGGGGGACCTCAGAAAAAGAAGTTAGTCACCAGCAAAGAGAATTGTAATTATAGAGAAGGAGGCATGAGGAATTATTGGGAAGTGCTGTGAGATTGGTAATATGTTCTAGGCAGAGTACATATCACAGGCCAGGCCTGGAATAGGCAGCACCGTAGTTATGTAGGCAAAAGGCTGGTGAGGGTAGGGTGGGCAAGAGCAGGGAGTAGCAGTAGCTTTATAAGAAATTTGGTCTTTATTTTGTGGGTACTGGGATATATACCTTAAAAATCTTATATAGTGGAATGAGTTGATATTTTAAATGACCATTGTGCTTACAGAATAGAGACAGAACTAGGAGGGAACAAAACTGATAGGGGGTCATGATAAGATAGTTGGAGCAGGGATCAAGGTGGGAGATGATGGTGGCCTGGCTTAGGTAAGGACTGTGGATATATTCTAGGGCTATGTAGGAAGTTTGAATAGAACTGCCTGACTTGTGATGCATGGATTGTGTTAAATGAAGGAGGAAGAGTCAAGAATGAGGCCTGGGCTCTGGCTTAGGCAACAATGTACACAAGTATCACAGGGAAACCACAAAAGAAGGTTGGAAGTGGGGTGGAGTTTAATATTTAAAATACTTGCAAGAGACCCAAGTACAGATTTCTAGAAGGCAGAAAGAAGGACAAATGAATCTGGAACCCTAAAGAGATCTATTTGGAAGACAAAGTACTAGAATTAGTTGTAATAGGAAGGCCATTAAGGACATGGGTGTGAGTTGAGATAAGCAGGGGAACTGTTGAGAGAAAAAAAAAAAAAAAAGCAGGCTGGAAAGAACGCCCTGGAGAGTATTCTAGGGATGAGGACAAGAGGAGGAGCAACCTTCAAAGAAGGCAATGGAGGTACAGCCAGAGAGATCTCCATGGTGTCATAGGGGCCAAAGAAAGAATGTTTCATCGTGAGCAAGTGGCTACTGGTGTCAAACACCATCAAGAAATCAAGAAAGAGAAGAAATGCAAAATGTCTTCTGGCTTTGGGAGAAGGGAAGTTGTGAGTGTCCTCACTGAGAATAGCTTTAAGGAGGTGAGGAAGACAGACTGTAGTGTGTTGATGAAGAGTGAACAGGAGGCAAGTGTAGACAAGCTTTCAGGAAGTTCAGCTGTATCAAATAGCGAGAGGACAAGCTGTGTGTGTGGCTGGTGTGTGAGAGAGAGAAATGAGGGAGGAAAGAGGAGAGAAGCTGAGACTTCAGTAAGCTAAAAAGTGAAGGTGTGAAGTTGAAGTCAATTCAGCTGGACTCCTACTAGAAGGAAGATATAGGGCCAGTGCAGAGGCGAGAGATAACTTCCTTTTCCTAGGGAAGAGAAGGGAGGCAGGATAAAAGCAGATGTCAGGGATCTCATGAAGGTCAGGAGGTGAGGTAGCTCCTATGCATTTCCATTCTCATGTCCAAAAAGTGACACTGGACAGGACATGTATCTTCTTGTTCTTCTTCAGTGCATAGAGAGAAGGAATTAGGGAAAGGAGAAGGAAGGAAAAAGAGTGAGAAAAAGATTTGCTTTCCCTCCCCACTTAATTTGAGTTTTTTACCTACTGGGCAAAGAAACTCAGTTCTAGTCTCAGGGATTCTTTGGCCAATTTGCACAGCCTCACCCCCAACTTGTGCTGAGTCCACTAGCCCATGTTCAGGAAAATAAAACCACTGTATCTCCTTTATTACTTGTAAGACGACATAGTAAAGCTCAGTGCCCCTCAAATGAGATCTGAACAATACACTGAGTGTGGACAGGTTTTAAAAAGGGAGGGAGAGTTAGGAAAAGCACCTGGGAACAGGAGAAAGATATCCATTCCAAAAGAAGAGGAGTTTATAAATTCTATCTGAGATCTGAGCTCGGCAGCCACAAGCAGCAGGAGAGGAAGGAATGAATGTGGCCCAAACACAATCACAAACAGGAGTAAAGAGAAGCAGGCATCACACTTGTCTGGGAAAGTGGTGTGCAGAAGAGGCAGAAGAACAGTAAAATCAGGAGGGAAAGAAAGCATGTGGGAGCTGATCAGAGAGTGAGAGGTTCACAGAATTATCAGGAGAGACCAGGTCAAAAATATCCTTCTTGGTCAGATTCTGCATCAGTGGATGGATTTTTTTACTTGTGTTTATTTGAAATACGTTCTATTTGCACTGCAAGCCTTTTTGGCAAGATTTTGGAATCTTTTCCCTCAAGGAGGAATTTTGCTGGATGCAATTTCACAGTAAACAGATCTTGTGGAATTTTAAACATATGACCTTGTCGATAGGGGCTAAAGACAGAAGGACTTATGCAGCTTTACACATAGTTCTTCATTCTGGGTTAGTAACTGGAAGGCAGGGTCACTTGGGAGCCAGGGAGGGCCAAGGGGAGCTGGCTCCACTCTCCTAGGACAGAAATGGCTGCCATATGGTGAGGAAGAATGTGCAGAAAGCTGGAAAAACTCTTAAAAGGGGGGAATTTTTTTAAAGTATTCATACACAGACCATCATGATAGACTCAAGACATGGTCATTAACTATTTTGATAATTAAATCAAACCTTTGAAGGACAGCATGGTAAGTGTGAGGACAACTCCAGACACAGGTCATTTAGGGGGTGATGCCACATACATCACTCCTCCCTGCTCTCTGTCTGAGACCTTCAAAGGGAATCATGGAAAATATGCATGCAGACAGAGGGAAACGCCACACAGAGTGGCCTTGCCACCCAGGACCACAGGAGCTGGGCATGCCTACAGATGAGGCCTCATGGTCTTCCTGGAATCATGGTTGTTTTTATCCACAGTTGACCTTAAGTAGACCTAGCTCTGACGGACGTGAACTCTTGACCTGAATCACTCAACTCTGATTCTGAACCAAGGATGATGAGATGAGACAGAAACACAGAATAGCCTTAGAGCATTCTGAGACTATTACCACAAAATTTAGAAAAGTTTAGTTCCAGGCCAAGGGGTAGGGGGCAGAGACTGGTAACAAGCCCTAGAATTTGTACTAGTTCAACAACATTATCATTTGGGGCCAATTGAACAAAGTTGGTGACACCATCAATGACACAATGACACTCGTCAGAGTGGCTAAGCAGAAATGCTATAAAAATACTTCTTGAAGACAGATCAGGTCACCACATAAGATTGGATGTTTGGCCATGGATAATAAAAATTCTATCCAGGAACAAAAATTCGTGTTATGTGTAAATCCTGTGCTATCCTGGGATTGGAATTTACCACCATTTAAGACAGAAGAAAACAGACACAAGACTTAACCCCAAGAAACTGACTGCTCACCTAATGACACATGAATATAGATACAGGTGATAGTGCTGATGGTTTAATGGCTTTTGTGCTTGTGGGAATGATAAGCCAAGACCAAGACAAATTGTATAAGAATTTAGTAATGAATCAATTTATGTACTGTAGCGTGTGATCTCCTAGTGGTAGTGAGATTCTCAGTATCAACATGAAACAGATTTTCTACTAAACTTAGTAGATTTATATGATCTATTAAGACACAATAATTTAATTACAGCTTGAGGGCATTATGAGTCCCATGCATTTAACAAATTTGTGACCTGCTTTCTCACCCATCATTCTGAGAAACAATGAGAAAATGAGGTCACAAAGTCTTCTAAAAGAGCCACATGGAACCTTGGTTCAGTTTCTCAATTCACAGATGTGGAAATTTATCTATTAGCAACAACTAGATTTTCTTAATATCACGTTTCCGATGGAAAGGCAAGCTGTCACTTAGGCTCCGAGAAGCGTCTGGCAGCTCACCTGTTCCAACATGTCCTTGGGCAGATCTTCCTGCTCGTCCATTGTTAGAATTGCCCGTTTGATTTCCTCGTTGGATAATTTCAACCTGGAGAAAAAATGTTTTATTTTGTTGTTAACAATACTGGTGTGAACATTAAAATTTCATACAAGACAACTCATTTTGCTAACCCAGCTGCTGATTTTCAAGTATGGTTTTTCTCAAAACTCTCAGTGAAAGCTTATTTCCTGACAATATAGAATTCTGAAACTAAAAATAGGATTTTGAAACTGCTTTAACGTTCTTGCAGGGCTTTGCAATGCTCTGCTGAGGCAGAGAACAAGGCTGCTATGTTCTACCATTTAATTTCTTAAAAAAAGGGACTGGAAGATTAAAAGATAGGGAAAATACACACAATTGTTTTCTTTTTTATATAATATCCTTGAATTGAAGGTGAGATAAGGACACTAAATTCCTAACTTGATTATAAGTCAGAAGTGTTTAAGGTTTGCTGTCAGGTTAAAAGTAGATTTTCAGAAGGCTAGGAACTGTAGGTTTTGATAAACAGTGAAAAACAGTGTTATTCAAAATTATGAGGAGTTTTCACATTTATCATTGTTTCATCTGAGTCTCAAAATAACTGCCTTAGTCTTTGTTTGATAGAGAAACTGAGGCTCAGAATGGCCAAGCCATTTGCCCAAGGTTAAACACAGCACAGAAAGTGACAGAACACACAAACCCAAGCTCCCCTGTGATTGTTTATCCCAAACCCTCTAAAACACAAACACTGCTTATCTAGTTAATGTCTTATAGCAAAGGATTTATTCAAAAAGGCAAATTTGTTTCCTGTTTGTCTGCTTTACTAATTTCAGTAAGGACAACATAGGTTGACTATAAAATATAAAGGCCATTAAATTAAAATAAACTTGAAAAATATATTTTTATTAGTTACCACAACAGTCTTATCCAGGGCAAATAATATTAATCATATTATCAGTATGACAACAGAATCATTCCTTTGTTCTGTCTGTAAGCAGTATACCCACACTTATTTTTGAAACCTTTTCCTTACAGCCTACCACTAATGTGGCATATGAATTTCTTTGTTGTTGTTTTGGTGGTACTGGGGTTTGAACTCAGGGCCTCAGGCTTGCTAGGCAGGTGCTCTACCACTTGGGCCACTCTACCAGCCTTTTTTTGTGATAGGCATTTTCAAAACAGCCAGGCTGGCTTTGAACCTCAATCTGATCCTCCTGATCTCTGCTTCCTGAGTAGTTAGGATTATAGGCATGAGTCACCAGCACCCAACCTAATGTGGCATTAGGACATTAACATCACCTGATTTGTCCTTTAGTCTATGCTCTTTAAAAAGATTCACATTTACAATGGGAGACAAAGACATAAAAAGGCACAAATATAGAGCAACATATACACATGTCACATATAACATTTGAGGGTGGGGGCTTTGCTACCAGATAGGCTGAGCCCCAGACCTGGCTCTGATACTTCCCGGTCAGTAAGATATTGAAAAAATTTTAAGTGCCAGTTTCCTCATCTGTAAAATAAGGATAATAATAACTACATTTAAGCTGGGCCCTAGTGGCTCACACCTGTAATTCTAGCTACTCAGGAGGCAGAGATCAGGAGGCTCATTGTTCAAAGTCAGCCTAGAAATAGTTCTCGAGACTCTATTTCGAAAAAACCCATCACAAAAAAGGGCTGGTGGAGTGGCTCGGGACCTGAGTTCAAACCCCAGTACTGCAAAAAAAACCCCAAAACAACAACAAAAAACTACATTTAAAACAGGATTTTGTGTGTACAGTATATATGTATGTGCATGTGTGCACACATGTACAAGGATTAAGTGAAGTAAATTCAAAGTGCTTGGTACAGTTCCTGGTCACAGAGAGGGCATATGCGCTACAAGGCAGACTGGTTTTTTTTGGCAGTACTTGGGTTTGAATTCAAAGCTTCACGCTTTGTAGGCAGGTGCTCTACCATGTGAACCACACTCCCTGCCGAGTTTTTCTATACTGGAAAACAAATAGCAGTATTTTTTAAACTTAGTATTTACATGCTGCTAATAGATGATTAAACAGTGCAAGTATGGTTATTATGAACACTTCACAAAGCGCTCTCAAATCTATTATTTCACCAGACTTTCCTCCCTGTACATGACATTAGGACTGGAGCTGGAGTATAAAGAAAGAGTTAGGAGATATGTCCTTATTTTAAAGGCGACTATGAGCTTTTGGAGAATCAGGTGATTAGCAGCAGAAACCCTGAAGACACAAAGGCATATAAAGCACACATTCATCCATGGTCTCGCGGAAGAGCCCCAGGGCTGAATGAGTGAGCAGAAGGAACCACAGGCAGCGGGAGGAGAAAGGCCCTCACCCCTGGTGAAGCTGAATGAGACCACTTCACTGTGGACCCCTGTGGCTTAGCCTTTCCTCTAGATTTTAACAGGATTGTTAAAACCATCCACCCCACTATTTAAATCGCATGGTCCTTCATGTGCTAATAAGTAGAAAAGAGAAGAGATTAACTTGTGAATCCTATTGTGCTAATATCACTCTCTTCTATTTCATGTTCTCAAATCTAAATATAGCAGCTAAGCAAAATGCCAAACTGTCTGTGTTGAGAAATGTGGCCTACTTTATTACTCATCTGAGCTGTGGTATCATCTTAACTCCTAGGCTGTGCAGAATGACCCTGGCCCTGGCAGACATTTCCCAAACTGCCATTTTCAGGACTATCATTGCCCCATGAATATGTTCACCAGAACATTACGATAGAGAACCCCCGTAATTAAACAGAACAATTTAACTAAGTTGACCTGGGTAAAGTAGACAACAGGACAAAAAACTGTTGTCATCAAGATTTCAACTGTACAGGCTCTAGGTAGCCCTGGCCCAGGTTAGGGCCAGTTTAAGTGCAAACACCATGGTGTGTACAGGCAAGTCTAAGGCTCAGCAACAAAAGGGAAGACTGAAATTGCCACTAATGAAAACCAACCAGTTGTAGAGCAGCTATAATCATCACAAGAAGAGCTCTGCTTATAAGAGAAAAATAAATTAGTTCTGTGTCCTTTTCACACCGAGTTGAAGAAACCATTTTATGATGTACTTCTGCTGAGTCCTTCTGTTTTGCATTTAAAAGAAAAGGAGTTGAAAATCAGAGTGAGAACAATACTTGAAGTATCAGATTTGCATTTCATTAGCTTCCCATATGGAGTGCAGAACTTCTGGCTTTTGAAATTGTATACATTTATGCTTCTCAACCCCCAGAGGCTGCGTGGACTAAACACCAGCTCTAATTCATAACAATTCTGCTTTCTCTTAATGTGGCCCACAAAGAGACCTGAGACTTTAATGGATAGTGCTTAAGAAAATCTACCTGTCAACATAACACCGTGCACGTGGCCTGTTGGATCAGACAAAGAAACCCTACCGTAGGGAAAAGGAGAGAAGGGTACCCCACCCTCTGGTATGGTTCTGTAGGTTGTAGAGTTCTTAGCATCATCTGTCATCCACAGAATGAGTCTCTAATCTCTGTAATTTTAGGAGTCTATCAGTTCTTGCCTTTTAATTGCTTTTAAAGCTTGGCAGTATTCTGGTGCTGAAGGGTGGCAACTTTTGAGACACCCACTTCAACTATTTTTTTTAAAAGCAGGAAATGAACCAGCCACCTTAACTCAGTACTTAATTCTCTCATACTCTAACTCAGGTATTTCAATATTTTTCTGAGAGAATTGGAACATCCAGATATAATTAAGATAAATTAAGGATGGATGGCTAGGTCAGTTTTAGCTCTTGCTTTAGTGGATTTAAGCCAAATCCCCCTACTTCAATGTCGCTTTTTGTGGTTTGACATCCAGGCTGCCATGTCAAGTAAGTATCTAGATAAAGAGAGTGGCAGAACACTTCATAAAATTGTGTTTTAGGTGGGCTTTGCAGTATAAACCTGCTTTCAAATTTCTTTCTTTTCCTTTTCCTTTCCTTCCCTTCCTTTCTACCTTTTCTTCCCTTCCCTCTTTCCCTCTCTCCCTCCATCCATCCATCCATGGAGAGGTCTCTTTTGGGGAATAAAACAGTCTGAATTTTAGATTGCTACATCTCATTCATATACTTACAGATGAAAAGCTGCTCACTCTGATGAGGGCCTATTGTAAAATAACACAGATTCATTAAACTGGACTTTAAATAGATAATCCAACAGATATGAGGCAGGTTCTTAATGGCTTCTCATTCTGAGGTCCATCATGTCCACTTTCCCGGCCCTCCAGGTTTGTGATATGTATGCCCTATTGTTCTGGAGTTCTTCATTCAAACTCACACCTCTGTCCCTTTCTCAGAGCTTCCAGTGACCTTGGCCACTCAAGCTGTAAAAACCTACTCTAGGAATGAGGAAAGCTTCCTGCTTAGTTTCAGCTGAGGCCATGACAGGTTGCCCTAATCAAAGAGTCTCTTAACCTTTATAGTATGTGAGGAAAAGGAGAACCAAACACTGTGAATGCATGTGCTTCATGAAAATCCAACCATGGAATATGCTACAGCTTTTCATAGTGGTAGATTTTGGTGTAAAGATTGCTAAAAAATACATCCCTAGTCATCAAGATAAGAGAGCAGTTCACCAGCCTTTGAAAATGAAACAAACAGAAAAGACAGTGCAGAAAGGCTGATGTTATTTATCCCCAAGCACAAAATCGATGCTAAGTCCTATCAAGGGTTTCTTCATCTCTGTCAATTCTGCTCCTCATCAGGTTTCAGCTCAACAACAGAAAGAGACTCCTATCTGATGGTTTCCCTGCATCCGGGTCTTGATCCCTTCTACCTTATCCTGCAAACTTCTGAGACCATATTTAAAACCTTAATAAAACAAACACTGTTCTCTTCCTGAACAAAGTTCACAGTTCCCTGATCTCATGGATAAACAAGGCATTAATTGAGCAGCTATTAAAAGTAGGTACCCTGCCAGGACCTCATGTAAACTGGGCTAATTCTCACAGGCCCACTGAAAAACTTGTGCTTTTATGATCCCCATGTTACAGAAGGGGAGCTTATGACTTGACCCTGGGCTAACTCATGCCCTTATAAGGGCATTAGACATGAATTTCAAGCCTTCTTTCTAGGTTTCATTCAACCCAATTGATAATCCTCTGTGACTCTTTATTAGCCGCTCTATACTTCATTGGAATTGCCTCCCCTATCACTTTTGTCCATGTCACTGTGTTTGTCCTCCGAGGCTCACTTTCTCCCTGCTGGAGCCCCTCTCACTCCCTTTTAGGGAGTTCAGACAGAACTCCCTAAGTCCTTCCAGTCAGACCAGCACAACCCTTCACATTTCACATATATCATTTTCTTCTTCAATTAACCTTGAGCTTTCAAAGGCAGCAATGCCATCTCTGTTAGTATGCTTTGGAGAAATTAACTTTGTATCATGGTTTCAGAGATTTTGGTGCATCACCTGGTCCTGTGGCTGTGGCTTATGTTGAGGTAGAACATCATGATGGGGAGGATATGGCAGGACAAAGCCTTATGGTACCCAGGAAGTAGAGAGATAGACAAGAAGAAGCCAGGGACAAGATACACTACTTTCCTCAAATGAGGCCCCATCTTCCAGTTTCCATCATCTCCCAATGGTCCATTCAATTATGATTCCATTAATGGATTAATCCATTGATCAGATTGAGCCCTCATGATCTAAGAACTTTCCAAAAGCCTCACCACTGAACCTTGCTCAGGGACAAAGCTTTCAACACCAGGGGACATTTCATATCTAAATCAAATCACCATCTGAAGTTTTAGTACATCCTATGGCACCTAGAACAGTGCCAGGCAAATAAATGCTCCAAAGTGTAACTGTTAAAAAAAAAAAAAAGGTATCAGACACATGCACATACGTCTCTTTCCTGCTTTAAGCCTCTAGCTCCTTTTGTATGTAGTAAGAACTTGCCGATGAAAAGGAGAGTATGAAAACGCCTAACTGGTTAAAAAAGTAAATAAACTACAAATCAAAATTAAACAAAACAGCTTGATTTCTTTCACTTTTACTACAGCCTATTTAACATATCACTGTGTGCTTTTCCTGATGGGAGAGTGGAACAACTGATCACCAAGCAGAAAAGCATGTGGTACTGAATCCTCTGAGGGAGAGAGGGGTTTTAACTTGGTCAATTTGGCACCACTTAACTGGGACTCAAAATTACTTTGTTGCCCACAACATACCTTTTAATTGTGCTCACTGTAATAAAACCTATTCATTAAATTGGATTTTAATAAATAATCTAAGAGATATGAGGTGAGTTCTTAAAATTGTCTTCCAGAGAGAGTTTAGACACACAGAAGTTCTATGATACTTCTGTGTTAACAAGGAAATTATATGCCACAAATATGAAATAATTCCTTTATTTTTCTGGTACTAGAGTTTGAACTTAGGACCTACACTGAGCCATTCCACCAGCTCTTTTTTGTGATTTTTTTTTTTTTTTGAGATAGGGTCTCTTGAAACTATTTGCCTTGCCTGGACTGGCTTTGAACTGTGATTTTCCTGATCTCTGCCTTCTGAGTCGCTAGGATTACAGGCATGAGCCACCAGCGCCTGGCTTGAAATAATTCTTTTAACAATGCAATGGGAAATTTGCCAGAAAGAGTTGCGAGCTTATCTATAACTAGTGTAATTACCCTGGCTGGCATTTAACATTGAGAATAATCTGTCTATGAAGAACTAAATCACAGTCTTTATAAACATTTCAACTCCACAGAAAGTAAATGTGATGTCTCCTTTTGTCAAGTTGTTTTAAAAGTACTCACCTGGACTCCAAAAGCAGAAAATATAAAGAGAGATTCTCAGATTAAAAAACAAGACAAAACAAAACAAAATCTTTTCCCAAATCTTCACTTAATTTTACAATTAAAAATGTTTTTTTTAAAAAGGTAACAAAACAAATTGCAAATTACATACAGTGCAGAAGAAAAATGAGTAGACCTTCAAGTTATTTTCAATGGAGTCATCTTAAGGCAGAAATTTTTGTCTAACCTATACAGGTTCATGGAGTAAGAGTCACAAGAAATACAAAGCCTAGCCATTTACATAGTTTCTAGCTAGGACAGAAATGAAATGTTAACAGGGTGGTTTGTGTTACCTTACAAACTGCACTAAAATTCAGGGATTTCACTAAGGCTTACTTTCTCTTTCATGAAAAGAAATGTTTGCTCCCCAAAGTAATAACTGTCTGGCCAACAATCAAGTTTCCATACTGAAAACCAAGCAGCAGCTCTTTTTGTTAACAAAACTCAGTCAAGGCCAGCAAAGTAATAAGGATTATTGTTTTTCATCTTCACTGTCCCCAAAAGAGAGTCACCTTATATCAGCCTCAATGCACATACAACATTCCTTCCAGAACCCAGCTTATCTTTAAAGCCTTAACACCAACATTCTTTATACCCTCATAAGCATTAGATGTCTTTGCCTACAGTGAAAGTCTCATTTAGAGAAAAGAAGAAACTAGATACAGAAAAGCTACTTGAAATGCACAGAATGACCTGACAACATTGCCTGGAGCTACAATCAGATTCCAGGCTCCCAAATTTCCTTTCTTCTTTTCAAGTTTCAAGGCAGTGATAGTTCACTAATTATGAGAAAGATTGCTGACCAGGGCTGAACTAGATAAATTAGCATTTTGCTGAGGTTTGAGATTTACATATCTCTTTAGCTGTAAAATGCTCAGGTAGGACATGAAATCACATAACCTTGAAATATAAAAAGGTGACACTGGAAAGCAAAATAAAATAAAGAACTTTCATCATAGATCCTGATTCTATGACAGAGTTACTTAGAGACTAAAATATCCCAAAAATGCAAGTAAAGGTCAAGTACATTTTATGGGCTTCGAGGGAAGAAAACCTTGACTTAGGATACTCTATGCTAGAGGTCTGTGGAAATTAAACCCTAAGAGAATTGACATCCAGCTCTGATACATGCTACTAGGAAAAGAGACAATCCTAATCAGAAGGGAACCCAAAGACTTGTATCTTGGTGGGTACAATTAAAATGAAATGACAAACGTGGTATTGAGCCACATAAGAGAAAAGGTGATCCTGTTAGAAATGTTTATTAAACATCAACAGTACCTTGACAGAAGGATGTTGCAATTTTGAGCTCTCCGACCATCAATCACCGATAACTCTTTGACTTTCAGTTTGGAACTTAGTGTGTCATCAATGGCGTCTGCTTCTTTCTGTAAAGAACACAAAAGAAGTTTATCAAATAAGGGACCTCGACTTCAGACACACTCTTCCTCTACATTTTTTCTATGTATACACGTACACACACACACACACACACACACACACACAAAACACATACATTCACAAATGGGCCAAGCTGACATGGAGAAGTGAGGAGTGCATGGAGGGTGGTGAAATTGAAACAAAGGCTACAATCTAGTTGGCAAAGAGAAATAATAAGAAAAGATGACCACCCATATTTGTAAAAGCATTATTTGGAAGAATAAAGTGCCTCCAAGTGAAGATGCTAAGTGTGCATAAATTATCAGTGAGTGATGCTGTCCTTTTCTTCCTCCAAATCCCTATGGACAGCAGATAGAAGAGCTGTCACTACTAATCAAGCTCAGCAGAGGATTGCCATTGCTGGTCGGAAAGTTTGCAGAGCCCATTCACCTCGGAACCATTTGCATCCTGACACTCAAGAAAGCTGAACAATAAAACCTCCCAAATGTCTTCATGTTCAACAGGAAGTTCCCAAGACCAGATGGTACCTTTCATTACCCTGGAGCCTGACAGAGGGACAATGGGAGGGGGCAGTTCAGGACATTCCTTCAGTTACCTTAATTAATAATTAAGCACTACTGGTATATTCATGATGGCCATCCATAATTATGGTAAAATAGGCATAAAACAATTACATATAAAATACTCTGAGTAAACTGCACATTTGAGTAAAGTGTACTGAGAATAATAAAAAGTTGAAGGTAAAAACATAGCAAGTTTGATTTCATTAGGTGTCAGGAGCAATTAAAAATAGATTATGGCATTTAAAAATTTAAGGAAACCAAAGAGGTCTGGAATTATACAACATTTAGAAAACAAAGGCAATATGAAATTTATAATATAAGACACCATGGAAACAAATGCCAAATGCCTCTTGTACTGGGATTTCAGGCATTCCTATAGATATTCCATTAAAAGTTGAAACTCAAGGTAGAATTACCTAGGCTTTGTAATACACTGTTTAAAAAAAAAAAACCAAAAACAGGATAATCAAGAAATTTCAAGCTTACAGTGAGCCAAGGAGTTACATTAAGCAAGGCTTAGGTAGTAGCTCACTTACCTGCTTGGAGTTACTGTTCACAAAGAAATCCTACAGCCATGGCAGAGGCATGGAAAAGGCAAATCAGATACATGCAGTTCAGAAATCACAGCAAAAACAGGGGAAAGTCAAAGTAGTCAAGGGAGTCAGTGGTGCAGGGTAAGAGATGATTTATGCCCTATACAATCACCAGTGAGAGTTATGATGCTGACAGTCTGGCTGAAGATATAATGAAGATGATGACATTTGTTGAACATACTTTTAAGCAGTAGTGAATGAAATTCAGAAAAGAAAAGGGCTTAGAAAGGCCCAAGCTGGAAAAGGAACAAATCTCTTTGAAACAACCACTGAGCTTTTACTAATTCAACATGTTGATTTTCCTTTCTCTCTCCCTCCTCTTCCCCTGGTGCTGGGAGTGAACCCAGAGCCTTGCACATGCTAGGAAAACACTCTACCATTGAACTACATCCTTAGTCAACATGTTGCTTTTTACTTGAAGCAGGAGAATATCAATCAAGTTCATCAATTTGAGGAAACTATTCCCATTGTTGTGTACCACAGAAAAATATGCACTTTTTTGGTGGATATAATCTCCTGTTTTGTATTTTAGGAGGGATTAAGAAAAGACAAGTGGAACAAACTAAGTCAGTAATAATCAACCTTCAGTACCCCTAGATGGTCCAAATGATGCCTGTAGGTGCTATGGGTAGGTATGAGGGAAAAAGAAGGACATGCAATTAAGAGGCAAACAGTGGCTCACAGGCTGTGTAGCCACTGGTGACCCCATCTCATCTGCCCCAGGGCTGTTTAAGAATGCAAGGTCAATAGCCTTTTCTTGGAAAGGTTTTTGAAAGGAGTAGGAGTTAAGAAGGGAAAGAAGAACTAATTGACATGCTATAAGAAAGTGACAACTTCACTCGCATTATTTTTTGCAGCACTGGATTAAAGAAATATTCAGTGTGCAAAACACACTCCAGCTTTGGCCCAACAGCTTGCACACCAGCATTTGCTCAGCAGATCCCTTAAGGTCTCACTGGTTTTGGCAGCACTGCCAAGGCCGATTTTACACAGATGAACTGCTTCCCATAATTCGTGTAAGTGGGAAACAGTACATGTCCTCCCCTTGCTCTGCCTATACAAAGGAGGATTGCTTTTCTACCATGGTGTTTAAAAAATAATAGAAACCTTTCTTCTGTGATAGCCTAGTTGTCTGTTATAACTGCCCAGTTTTCTAAAATTCTTCAGGACTTTTTCTGTAAAGCAGTTTCAAGAGCAGAGAAGATGATGGTGAAATGAGCTCCATGAAGTCATTTGAACCTGTTTTTTTTTTCCTTTTAAAGATAAAATTGTTACTTGAATTTAGATTCTGCTATCACTGTCTGGCCTTCAAAGAGATTTTTATGAAGTTCTCTGGCAACTCATTCTACATCTTAAGTTCCAACTGCCAGAAAATTGAGACTTACGACCTCTAGTGTAGTGGACTATGGAATAAAGCAGCAGTCCTTTACTGGGTGTATGGTATGGGGCTCAGTTTCTCTATCTGTAAAATGGATTTAGCACCTGGATTATTATTGTGAAGATTAAATGTGATGAGGCAGATAAAATGATAGATATAGTACCCTTGGCACATATCTATGAGCTCAATTCTTGGAAGCTATGACACAGTTATTTTATCTTTCAAACTGAAAGATTAAAAAAAAAGTCTTCTTTTGGCTGGGTTGTTGACCAGTTGGTCAAGATATTCCATTTGCAACCACCAGGAGCAATGAGCATAACAGTTAATAGCTAAGTAATGTTTCTTATCTTTCCAAAGGTGAGGATGAAGAATGCTATGGGAGAATTTTGTTAATTGCTAGCCTCAAAATTCCACTTCTTTAAAGATTCATTAGTCAGCATATTAAAAATAAAACCACAAAGCTTATGAGTTTACTAGATGGGGCATGTTAGAAATAAACAAGCTTCCAGGCCTATTTCAAGTAAATTAAGTTTCTTTTTGAAATCTTAAATTATTCACTCAAAAATCACAGGGAGGGCCCAGGCATGGCGGTGCATGTTTATAATCCTACCTATGGGGAAGGCATAGAAAAAGAGGATCGCAGTTTCAGACTGATCCTGAGTAAAAAACACGGGATCCTACCCCCCCAAAAAACTAAAGCAAAAAAGGGTATGGTGCAAGTGGTAGAGCCTGCCTAGCAAGTGTGAGGCCTTGAGTTCAAAACCCAGGTACCACACACACAAAAAAAAAAAATCATGGGAAATACAAAAAGATACTTCAAATTGGTTGGCTTGGGGCAAATATAGAATTGCTACATTTGGCTCCACTCAACAGGATGTCTAATTTTTCCAGATGATTTTGGTGTAGGGTTTAGGACTTGGAATATAAATAGGAAGTTGGTACTTGCATTTTCAGGAAGTGCTGATAAACTGCTATTAACAGGCTTCTACAAAGTAATAATGACAACACTTCATAGATAATGATAATCCTTACAGGAATGATTCTTAGTATTTTTTGAGATTAATCAAATACCTTGATTAACCTGATAAAGGCTGAGAATCCCCTTCCAGAAAACTGAATACACTGATATTTATATAAAATCCTGTCATTTAACTCTTACCATAGAACTCAGTTATACAACCTCTAGCTTTATACTCCTCTTTGGTCCAAAGAAAACCACTATTCACAATTTTCTCTTCTGTCTTCATGTTGTGAGGCTAAGGGCTAAGTTTGTTGAAATAAATATCCTAAGTCATAATTTTTCAAGGTGCAATTGGATATACAGAATAATAACAACTTTAAAAGAATAAAAAAAGGAAAATTCTTGGACCATTTATAAACAGTCAGGATATACTATAAAGTGTTTCAAATGGGACCCCCCCCCAACAAAAGACTTCCATATTACCTATTAGCAGTAAAGGTTGGATTTTAGAGCCTGGAACAGTAGTTTTCCCTTGCTCCTTTAATCAGAGAACAGAGGCATTAAAATGTTGTTTTATGATGATCATAGGATCCTAAAAGGGCTGTCCTCAAGCAAAGACTAGGAAGGAGGAAGAGACAGTGAGCTGTAATATGCTGCTATAGAGCTGTGACTCCCTTTTAGGTAAATGTGGCATCATTAGCTAATTTCTCCTCTGATTACATGGATAGGGAGAAATGAATTTGCAGCATGTCAGGATAGAAACTTCCCACAAAACAGACATGAATATTATATAACTGTATTTGAAATAATTCTACTAAACAATGTGCTACATTACGTATTAAAATAAATCTCTGTGGCTGACCTGGAAAACATGTATAATGTAGTTTCATGAGGAAAAAGGTCCTGAGATTCAAAAAACTGACTTTCAAATGAGCTTTTGGAAGGTGAACAGGGGAATAATAGCATGCTATTAAATTTCATTTCATGTGGCACACGAGCTTACATAATCGGCTCTGCACACCTATGCACTGAAAAAAAGTTCTTAAACTGGAGTTAAAGAAAATCCTCTACAAAGTCTGGCAGTCAAAATGAATAAATCCATGGATTAAGAAAAAAAAGAAACCAAGAATTATACTACTTTGTAGTACTGACTGTGCCACCTGTTAGGATACTAAATATACATTGAGTTTAATTTTATTATCTGCAATACAGAAATACTATCCCTCATGAGAATTAAATAAGAAAATAAGAATAAGAACTCATTGAGAATTACATTTAGGGTTGATGAGATTAAGAACTGAGGATATCATACTCAGTACCATAAATGTAATGAGTACTCAATACTGATTCATTTGAGTTCATATCTGCAGTACTTTGCATATTTTCTCATCCTTGCTTTTGCACTGTTATATTGTGGGCCTGTGCAAAAGTTTAATGCATTTGAATCCTTTGAAACACTTTCATAAAGCACACAACGTAAATATCTGGCTTTTTTTTTTTTGAGGCAAGGTCTAACTATATAGACCAGGTTGGCCTTAAACTTGCTATGTAGCTTAGGCTGGTTTCGAACTTGTAATCCTCCTGCCTCAGTATCCTCCAGTGCTGGGATTATGTGTATACCATCACACCTGGCTAAATATTTGATTTTTAATAATAAAATATTTCTCAAATCAATTGCCTTTTTATATATGCTTGAAAGTATATAGTAAATTTATTTATAAATGCATGTGTCTATATTTATATAGGTATATGTGTGTGTGCACAAGTGTGTATTCATATGTATACATCTCCTAACTGCTAATTCTTCATTCATCTAATTTATACTAATTGGACATTGCTAAACTGTCTCAAAATCTTACTCTCTGTAGTAATGGTACTCATGTGTTCCTTTACCTTTCTAAAAACTATCTATCCCAGCAACTGGCTGAAGTCCAGAGTTTGACCAGGATTTCACAACTCCGGAAGAAGGGAAGAAGAGACACCATGAAAAAGATAGGTTCCAGTGTTCATTTGGGAGTAGAAAAGACAGCATTTCAAATGCAGTGACAGTCACGTAACACACTGCTAAGACTGAAATGAGAACACATAGGTCTTTGATGAAGGGTCATTCAATGACAAGCATTCCATTTTTTTTTACTCCGTCGTACATATTCTGATTGGAATGTCCCTATCTTTTGATTTTCTGGCTTTCAACATTCAATAAATTCAATAAAATGGCTCAATACTTTCATTTGGAAAACATTTTTATGGTTTAAAAATTCTCATCTCCAATTTTTAAACAAAAGGGGAAATGTGTCTGAATTACTCAAGCTTAACAGGTATGTTGAAATTTTTCTTCAGGAAGTGCTACTGAAAATTTGGGCACAACTCATTCTAGTTACCAGTCTATTTAGTGTTAAGTACAACCAAAATGTTCTGGTCTTTCCTGTCTGGAATGACTACTGATTACTTAAACAGTGCTGGTTGCTAGGAGACAATTACCCAATTGCTGGGCTTTCTGCAATCCCAAAGCTCTTGAGAACTGTCCACATATTTGTCCCAGAGCATTTTGGCAGCATCCTTCTACACCTGAAAGCCAGTTAATTATGAGTCTTGTAAACTTGGGTCTTTCAACCACCTGCCTTCATAATAAATGCAACACACATGCTCAAACTTGAATAGCATCATTTGGAATAACTGCAGCTCTCTTTTCTACTTCTCTAAGTTCCCAAACCTTCATCTTAGACAACCAGCATTAGCAATTCAATTAGCAATTGAAACTGAAGTGAGAAAGCAATGGGACAGAGAACCAGGTCAGAAGATTATTTAAATTACTAGGAAATTTGCAAAATGTCTTATGACTTCATGCCAAGTTCCAAGTTGTCTACTCCTGGGACAACAGAGAGAGAAGAGACATGGTATAATCAGTCAGGAATGAGTCTGGGCAAAATACCTACAGGAGAAGGACTCTAAACACACCTTTGAAAAGTAAGGTGTCTTTTCTTTGTACTAGACAATGCCTTATTTTCCTTTTCTACATTTTTCTTTATTTAATGTGTATCACAGGACAAGTTGCTTTTTCACTTATGAAGGGGTCCAGTTGAAGGCTTCTGTTTTGGGGTTTCTGTCACCATAGCAGACAACTATTTTTACTTTTGTACTTTATTAAACTAGTACAAAAGGCATTTCAGAGAAGCTTTCCCTCCCTTACAGCAAAATATTCTGACTAAATAACACTCCTCCCCTATTTTAGATGCATTAAAGGCTATATTGAAAAAAATAAGCATTAGTTTTTGTTTCTCTCAACCTCAGTCCATCTTCTTTCATGATGCTTAGCATTTCTTTTCTGAGACATTCTTTCTTAGGAACCAAGCCAAGAAAGCTGAGTAGGAAGTGTGCTGCTTGTTTGAGGATACTCCACCCTGGACATGATTCATGCAGGAGTTACAGCCTCCCAGGACAGCTCAAGGGAAACCCCTGTGTAGATGCCTGGCACTTGTGTTTTCCTATATAAGATACATATGTTCTTGTAGGAATGTCTCTCCTTTAGTCAGCCTCATCAATCTTTCTCCCTGTACTCCTAGGCTCAATTATTTACCTTCTCAGTCTTTGATGTATTATTTGGGTACCATCTTTTCTTTGTTCTTCTGGAACTTTCCACACCTGGCCACCTAGCTGTGGCTACTGGTCTACCCTGAAGAGCTCTACCTGTAAGAGCTCTTCTGGTCTACCCTTAATAAGCCCCCTGGAGGAACAAGAGTTTCCATGCAGTTGTGACCAGGGCTCACACAGTGATGCTGCCTGTTTGACCTCGTCAATGTGGATAAGCAGTAAGCACCAAATCACATGCTCATGCTACCATTGTGAAAGCTTTGTTCCCTTTTCAGTAGCTTCTCTAGTCCTTTTTTGTATAATTGCCATCTCCATACTTGCTAAGCCTATGTAACCCCACTACTGAGTCTATCACATTTATGACATATAGTTAAAACTTCTCTGTAGATTCTGCTTAGCTGCCAAATTATAGTCATTTACCAAATCCTGTATTTCTAAGAAATCTATTTATTTCAAAAAGCAATTTGCCTCTGACAGTATTTGATACGCATTTCTTTTTAACGTAGATAAACCAAAATGGCCTCAGAAACACTGTGACAGTGTAAGTTATATAACTCCCCTACTAATATTTTTTTTCCAGTGATCTATTTTTAACTAAGCACAGTGATGAGAAAACACAGAATTCTTTACGTCAATGGAGACAAGGCCTTTGTCATACACCATGACACAAAGCTTCCAGACAAAGAGCTCATATACCTTCAACTGTTCCCTTACACACCGACAGGCGCTTGGACAGACATGTGGACATGTATACAGTGCCACTTTGCAGGAACATACCAGGAGAGACCAAATGGCCTAACACTAAAATGCTTATCATATCATGCTATGGCAGATGGCCCAGGGATCATGCACAAGGAATGATGTTTACTATTTTGGCATTGGGAGGGCACAAGCTATTACCTGCTGTCTTTGATAGGCAGAGAAAGTTCTTTCGAGGTCCTCAAGATCTAGAATTTTGAAGACTTTTGTATCATCAATTTCAGTCCATACTGTTCCTTCCAGTTTGTTCTAGAAACATCAAGTTAACAAGTTCTATGGTTTATAGTTATACACAAGAACAGACATGATATTTTTTTAAAGTGCTTCTATCCCCCAAATTTTTATTCTATAAGGTGCTCAAAGGAAGCTGGTTTCAAACAATGTGTCATTGTTTCAGAAGGTTTCTCACTTAATATATGAGCTAGTGAGAGCCATGAGTCCACTAGAAAATAAAGGATTCAGCAGTCAGGGCTGTTTCCCCTTCCTGACGACACAATGAGCTGCTGCTATCCACTGATCCATTAGTGGGAAAGTGGGAACAAATGGCTTACCTCAGGCAGCTTTAACCAGTTGAAGGATTTCAGGGCATTTGTGGGCTGAGGAATGTTTTTCTTCTTGAGTGCCAGACCCACTGGAGCACCAGGAGGTGGCATGATTCCCCCTAAGGGAGGGGGTCCTGGGGGGGGAGGAGGACCACCAGGAGGGAGGGGAGGTGGTGGAGGAAGCACTCCACCTGGCAGGGGTGGGGGTGGTGGGGGAGGAAGGAGAGTCCCAGGTGCAGAGGAAGGAAAGGGTCCCCCTGGGGCTCCAGGTGAGGGTCCTCCTGGGACTGAAGCACAGACAGCCCTCTGAAAAGGTAAAATAGGAAAAGAAAGAGAGGATCGATGAAGGAAGAAAATTCACTGGATGATTTTCAGAAGCTGGAATTTTGCCTAAAATAGATTATAGCGAAATCCACACTGTTGAAAATGCGGGTTCTGTGACTTGATTGAGTCACCCCTTTGTATTTGACAATTGAGTGTTTGTCTGCAAAGCATTCATATCTCGCTCACTTCTTGCACCATCACAGAGTTTGGTTTTCATTGAATCAGTTTTCATGCTAAGAAGCTAATATGATTTGCTTTAGCACAGGGTTGATACTAAAAACCCCCCACCCCACAAACTACCTCTGCTGCCTAACCTACATGATGGCAGATGGAGCAAGTCTCATAAATCCTGTGATGAATTGTGAGACACTTCAGATTTTATTCCCATAGCAGAAGTTGTCTACTTGAGGGTGAGGGGGCCCAGGATAAGTGAAGCCTTGGCAGCTGTGGCCCTCACCCTGCTGAGCTCGTGGAGCTGTGCTGTGAGATCTGCCACCTGCTGCTTGACCTGCTTGTGCTCAGTGGTCTCCTTTTCAAGTTTCTCTTTCATTTTATTCAAGGTCTGCATCATTTCTTCCTTCTCCTGGGTCTTGGCATCACACTCTCTCTCTTTCTTTTCCAATTTCTGTTGTAGTTCATTGTGCTCTGTGTAAGAAAACAACTGGGCATGATAACAGAAGATTCTTCAAAGCTGAGACATTTTCTCTAAAAAGGAAAATCAACTGAGGATGATGGTGGAGATTGAGGCTCTTTATTAGGTAATTATCATTCCTAAATAGCACTCATGCAGAGAGAGGGCTTCTGATGAACAACTTTATTAACTACATTCTGTAAATGGACAAAGAAGAGACCCTAAAGTCATAGCTATAAAACAAAAGTTTGAAGAACTACTCCTAGAGGATTAAGGTGCCTTTTTAATAGTTAATTCAGAATCCCATCACAGAAATGGCCCATTAGCTATACTAGGGTAAATGAATGCTACTAAAAGGGCCTCTTTTCACACATCAGAAATGGGATGTGGAGAAGTCCAGCTTTGCTGAGCATGTTTCCTGGCTTGTGCCCACTAGCAGAAGGGCTGGAAAGGGAGGATCTTGTGCTGTAAGGCAGAGCTGCTGGCAGACCCAGTGTTCGTCCTGACACTGACTCATTTCTCTCGGACCCCTTAGAAGGTTGTCTGAAGTATTTTATGCTTCCAGCAAGCAATTATTAAAATTTGTGGGAAGCAAATTCTGGTGTTAAATATCTTAAGAGCAGTAGTGTTATGTTGGTTGAGCACGAGAATCATAGTAACATGGGAAGAAAAATATTAGCTCTCAGCTATGGTTTTACTGACTTCCCCAGTCCTGCTGTCGTGGAACAGGGCATTCAAATTAGCATAATGTTTATTCACATAGCCAATGAATATGAGACTTCTGACATGAATGGTGAGCTTTGGAAAAGAAAAATAATGAAGTTGAAGCTGCATAGTTTTATTTCAAGTACTTGGACCCAATTCCTATTCTTTATATGTCAATAAATACACTAGAGATATAGTCCGATGAGGCTGAGCTATGGAGAATTGGTCTCTGTTCAGTAATACACTTAAGCTCTTGTTGTCTTTGACCTCCTCTCTTCTGTGTCCTTGGAAATTAGGATTTTCAGGGGGAGTTCTGAGCCATTGAGATCCTTGTGTTTCACCAGCCTTGGAGTTAAGATAGCCACTAATCCGCTTCTGCTACTCTCTGGCTTCTTTGGGTCCGTATTTTAAAACGAAACCCCACTGTATTCTATTTTCTTTCCTCACTGACAATTAAAAGGTGAGGAGTGTGCCTTCCTCTCTCAGGTCATAACCCTTTCACAAATCTTTCTGTGCCTTAGAATCACATAAGAGGTCTTAATGTTTCAGAAAGCCCTTGCCCCGCTCTGTATGTCAGGGCGGGGCATATGAAGCTGGTCGGAAAATGCTCCTTACAGGATCCTCATGTAATGCCAGGTTTGGGAAATTCCAACCTAAAGACTCTCCACAAATGATGTCCATTTACCACCTGTTCCCTAAGCTTTTATTGAGTGCTTCCCGGGAGTGCTGTATACCAGAGAGTTCTCCCCTACATGCTCTGCACCTTGCAGGTCCATGGAACTTCCTGTCTCCTCACAGCCCTACCTGCTCACTACTTTGCCAACATGTGCCCTCTTGAATCTAACTGCCAGCTGAAGCATCAAGAAAAGAAGTCAACTTATCTACAATTTCTCTTCTTTTATATTCTACTCATGATTTCACTTTAAACTACTCTGTTCCTCCTAATGACCTTAGAGATTTTCTCTTGTGCCACCTCAGCTACCTGAATCCTTTAACAGCAGTTAATCACTTAGTGTGCAACTTACTCATGCTGGTACCATGCTAATGTTCTTCTATTTGTTTTTTGTTTAATCTGCATAACAACATTATCAGTTAGGTTTAATTCTCATATTGCAGAAGAGGAGACTGGAGAGGAAAAGAGGGCATAACTGAGCCTACCCATACAGTCAGTGAAGGCAGAGTTGAGACTCAGTCTCAGAGCTCAGCACAGTGACTGACACAGAGAAACATTTACTAAGTGTCCACTGAAAGAATGGCTCAGTGACTCCAAAGATGATACCCCAAGTAATGTCCTCAACTTCCACACTCAGATCTCCATTATCTAGTGCAGCCCTAAAATTCAGACCTCTCTTTACTTGAAGTTTGAATAAATGTTTCTATTCTTTCCATAACAGTTCTGGAATTTATTTATCAAAATGCATGTGCAGCCTCACTTACGTGAGAGCAACATAAGGAACTGTCACATATCAGTACTTCTTCACATTTGGGATTTTCCTGAATCACTAGTGGCCTTGGTTTTCTGCTTGATGGCAAAGGACAAATGTGATGAGAGGAAAGGAAATAGTTAGACCTCTCTTGAACACTCTCTTCAGTGCATTAACTCTTGGGGTGAGGGCTATTGTATTTCATTGGCTGTGATTAAATAACTTATGCAAGGAAGTCAGTAACCAGTGTGGTGAGAAGAGTGTTGGCAGGGAATATACTGTTCTCACAAAGGGGCCAACTTTAATTTGCTAATATTCTGAAGGAGGGAGGAAAGCTAAATATTTCTGACTCATTGGCATGGCACTAGGAGGCACACAAATGTCTCTCCTGTCTGCTGAGTGATAATATCAAAGACATATTCAAATACTCAATAATCGTTGGCTTGTTAATGTTTCATAACACATCTCTGGCAATTGTCATAGATTTTCTGCCTGGTTTCTTTTTTATGACTGGTGCCAAATTAAGGTCATGGAGAAAATTGGGTCACTGAAACCAAGTGATCTGTGCTTCTCTTTTAAAATTTTGGTTAAACCCTAGAATCACTTGTTATAGTTCTTAAATGCCAATGTGCTTTAAAGAGCAGTTATGGGGCAAAGAAAGGATTGAATTAAACAAATACTACACAGCAAGTGGTACAGCTTTTCAAAAAATTGTACATGATTATAATAAAAGCATAAAATATTTGGGAATTGGCATGACAATTAAAAATCGCTTGATTCTAAAAAACCAGTGCAAAATGCCTGTAAGACATGGAAAAATAAAGGTTACTTGATATATAGAGTCAACAAGAAATACCAATGCAAATTTCTAAAAGATGCAGAAAGCAGGGCCATCCAGTAACCAACAATACAGCACAATCTCTTGTCAGGGTCTCATAATTTACCTTTTCTCATTTTTTCTGCTTGCTCTTTCCACTGTTTAACTTCATTTTCATTAACCAACCTGCATAATAGTTAAAGGAGTACTCATTACACACATTAAAAAAAAGATAAAAGGTCCACTGCTAAATATATTTTCCCTAGGTACAAAAATAGTCTACTGTAGAGAAAATCCCGAGTGCATGCTTGAAACTCATTTAAATCCAGATGTTACTTTAGATATATTGCATGTGATTATATAGTAACCCATAGTCAACCTCCAGAACATTTCAGTTCTCTCAAGTATTATTTTGAAGTAGTATAAAATATCTTATGTTATCATCATTATCTCACAGGCAGTGGAATAAGAAGAGACTTACATTCGTACAACATTCTTAATGTTAAAGTTCTCCAAGGGTGTTGAGTCGGGATCCTGTCCTTTGTCATTCTGGATAACTATTTGTTGTATAATTCTATCTAGTAGTAGCCAGTACTGAACAGTATTGCCGCTCCTCTTGTCTAAAAAGAGGAAAGATGGTGGAAAAAAGCAATGAAGCTATTTATAAACTAGGATGAATATTTTTCAATAGTGGTCACCCATTAGATCCACTGAATCAGAGAAATGTTTATATTATCTGCCCTAAGGCTTCCCAAAGTCTTTGGAATTTTGGTATGTAATGATTATTTATTTGATTGAGAGGTACTTCCCCCTTCCCTTTCTAAATGTGTTGTAAAGCATATATTTATTTTTAAAATCAAAGTGAACACAAAGTCATTTCATTTTGAGGATTTCATAACACCTCTTAAGCTGTGTGGAGACACACGCTGGGCTGCCACAAAGCTGAGGCTTGGAATCCCTGATATGCACCCGATCTAATCAGCATTGTTCTGAACACAGAGCCCTTTGGACAATGTCTGAGCACTAGCCACATCCGTGTAGGTCACAGACACTCACAAGGCATTTGGAGGCAGTGGTGAAGGATGGACATGAAGTGAGGGTAAGCTTCACTGTGAGTCAGCCTCTTCCTGGTCAGCTCAAACATTTGAGTTGCACTTTTTGTGTCTATGTGAACCTATTTTATAGGAAAAAAAACCAAATCTAAGTCAAACATCCAAGTTCCTCAATCGCCCTCAATACAAGAAGAGTAAACCCGAGGCAAACACAAACTCATCCTGTGACTTAGGTAATAAAACGGAACTTCAACTTCACTCATAGGTTACACTGGTCCATAGTGACACTACGCCACATATTTTCAAGGGGAAAATTCTGTGAGCTGATGAGTCAAGTAAGAATAATTAGGGGCATACATACCAATTCAAATCTTTTGGCAAATTCTAATTCATCTTCATTTCGGAGCATTTCAAAAAAGTCTAAATGCCTGAAAGAAAATTGAAGAAATGTTACTAAAAGCAAAACATCCTACAAACACAAGCACATAGGATTCAGGACATTAATATTTAGGCATTTTCTAAATTTTCAGAGAGATCGCTAAAGAAACAAGGTAACAAAATGTGAATGCTTCCACTTAACTATGTTCTTTCTAAGGAAAAACTACATTAACTGAGTTAAGTATGACCACAATAGAAAAAAAAATGTAAAAACCTAGAAAGCCTATTACAAAATATATAATTATTAAATGATATTTATCAAATCCAAAAGTAATCAAGTCCAGATTCTACTCACTGATTCCCTTTATGGAAAACAAGCCCATATAATCACACTTGACTTGCTGTTGAATTAAAGATCACAAAAGAAATGTCCATATCATCCTAAATGATGAATAAATTTCATTTAAATTTTTATTAACCCCTACTATATATTCTATATATTCTATGTGGGGATGATACAGTCTATGAAGACAAATGCGTCAGAGTAAAGGGAACAGAATGTAAAGGGAAAGGAAAGGATATTTAGTAGTTGAAAAAGGCCTGTCTTTGGGGAACAAGTAATCTGGATGTCTGAAAGGTCTTTTGAAGCTGAGGAACTAAGTAAGTGCAAAGGTCCTGAGGCATGAGTATTTTGGACTTGTTCACAGAATATCAAGAAGAGCATGCTAGAGTACATGAATGAAGGAGAAAAGTGTGGTAGAAGGAAAGATCTGAGAGCTAGTGGGGTTCCTAGAAATGGTAAAACGATTGCCAACACAACAAGTGAATAGGAAACAGAAAACAATATTCCAACAATGCCTATCAACGTTACCTCAGTTTTCACCACAGAGCTGGTTGTCATTATCCTCACCATTGAGGCAGGATAAATCAGGGAACATGAAGCATGGGAAACAGCAGCCAGGAATTCACAGATAAGCATTGTACTACCGAGCACTGCAGCCTGATGAAAAGCACCAGATATTGCTTTCTTTTCTTTAAACTTCACAAGCTGCAACACTTAGTAAAATGGGGGAAAAAAGGTGGTGGAGGGGGGTATCTAGCAGCTCTCTCCCTCTGACCTTGCCTGCTTACCCAAATAATTAGTGCACTCTGGAAACTGAGCAAGGATAACTTAAAGACACTTATCCTGGAGAAAAAAAACTGTCGGGAAACTGACACCTCTGAGCACAAAAAGGAAAATACACAGCAAGGATGGAACCTGCCTTGAAGGGAGGTTCATGACTCATCCATTGTTTAAACATCTATATCACAATGAACCAACTAGCCTTAAAATCTTTGGGCTCAATTGATAAAACACTGCAACAGCAAGAATGACTACGTATACCAGATGCCACAACAAAAGGGAACACTTATCCTAAGGTGAATTTGAGCCAACGCCCAACTCACTCTATCACCATAAATATCCTTAATGTTAGAACACTCATTGCATCTGTTATCAGATGTGCCAAACCTATGTTTGGATTGTGTACAATGTATCTTTCCTTTGCTTTGCTATACTTATAAACTTTCTTGGTCTCTACCTTGAGGGTCCTAAAATTCTATCTTGCAACAACATCACAAGCTTAGTGCCTTAGGGCCAGACATGGCCTCATCCCTTTTGGAGACCTCCTCCCTAGAGCATCATCATCATTTTTTATAGGTATAAAATAGTAAAGTTCAGAAAAAAACAAGTTACTTAATTAGGATACACAGGAAGTATGAGGCAAGACTAGGATAGGATATAGATTCAGGTTTAATGTTAAAACCCATTAAGTTCTCTACACAGTGTGCTGCTTCCTTCATCAACAGAATCTTACAATAAGACCCTAATTAGCTGAACTAACACACGAGTGCAAGTCCTTATGTTACAGATGGGTCGCAAATAGTTCACAAGCTGGCGCTGGATACAGCATTGTGTGACACACACGGAAAAACACATGCTGTCTCAGACCACAGCAGTCTGACTTACCTATCTAATGTTGAATTTTCATGCTCCCTTAATTTATCTATAACAGGTTGGATTCCTAACATCAGAAATTCATAGCGAAGATGAAGTCTAAAGTCCAAACTCTCCTGAAAGTAAAAGGGTGGTAAAATAATATTTATGGTTTTTAGATTATATAGTAATCATTTTTAAGAATTAATTACTTTTCTTTTTCTTTCTTCCTGTTTTTTTTTTTTCCTTCAGTGCTTGTGGATCGAACCTAGAGCCTCACGCATACTAGGCAAGCACCCCACCACTTGAGCCATGCCTCTGGCCCTTTTGGTTGAGATAGGTCTTTTTAAATTTACCCAGGCTGGCGGAAAACTTGAGATCCCCTTACCTCCACCTCTCAGTAGACAGGATTCTGTGCATGTACAGTCATGTCTGACTTAGAAATTATTCTTTAATAATGCTTATAAAAACTGTGATAGAGAGATTCTTACCACTCCCGCGCCTTGGCTCAGCACTGCGTTGATGAAGGACATGATGGCTGTCTTGAGACTCACTTCATCTCGATACCGCCCGGTGCTTTTATCCAAGTCATTAATTAATGTCTGTCGAGGGTACAAACAAAGAACTAAGTCATTATTAATCCTATGCTCATTTACAAATTGTTTTATAGTCAGAAGTTAATTTTTAATATCTTGGGTATAGACAGAATTACATTATCCTTAACAAGCCACTTTTTAAAAATTAAGATTAGTACTAAAAACTCAAAATTCTTACATCATGTGTGCTCATATATACGTGCATACAAGGAACAAAAGACTTTGCTTTGTTACTTCGATTTGCTTGCTACATTTGAGTAAAAACTTGGTGATGCAATCTCACTATTCATATTGATCCTAAATCAAGGATGGCAACCTGTAATTTCAGGGAAGAAGCATTTAGTGGATGCAAAACATGTGTGCTAGATAATATGTAGGATGCAGGGCCACATTTCCAAATTCAGTAAACTAAGATCACCCCCACCCACTCCCCGGCGATCAACTATGGATCAACTCTACTTTCTGGTTCTCAAACCTAAGAAGAAAGGAGAATCTGAAGTCAGTGTGAATAATCCCAAGGAGAAATCTCAAATAATGTTCTCCATGTCAGGGCCAGAAAAGGCAACTACTTACGCAGAGTTAAGGTTGGGGTGAGGGAACGCCCACCTGAAAGCGGGTTCTTTCGCTGGCGTACTTCTGGTAATGTAGCATGGCCTGCAGAACCTTCTTGTGGCCCCCGGGAACCAGGCACACAGCGCCCAGGATTTCCAGCACAGCCACCTTCGTTTTAATGTTCTCTGTGCTCAGACTCTGAGCAATAACATTAATACTCTCAGAATGAGCCAGGACATGAGCCCGGCCTTGAGAGTTGTTCATTAGTGCCTTTATACATCCAATGAGAGAGGTATGTACTCGAGACTCAGACGTCTCATAGTCCATGGTCTTCAGAAAGTTGAGAATACATGACAAGCCATCCAAGTCAATGAATCTTGTTACAAACCTGTCATGATGAGAAGTGCAGTAGCCTTAAGTTCATTTAGGGTTTTGTTTTAACTGTTCTTAAGAGAAAAGTTTGAGGGGTAGGATAAAGAAAAGAGATTTAGTTCCTGAAGTACTCATTGATGAGTTCTTTGTAATTCTTTGCCTCTTCCTTGGCACAGACCAGATAGTCAGTCTAATCAGACTATAAACAAATCTCCATTTGAGGTAAACACATTTCAACTGGTACAAAGAACCAATTAAAAGGCCAGGAGCAAGAAGACACTCAGAATAAATATCTCATCTTAGGTTAAAATCATCTGATCTGAGTTGTTGTAGCATTCAGTTCTCATACACTTCTATGCTGACCACTGACTCTGGCCTCCTATCAAATAAAGTCAAAGAGCAACCCTCAACTCTTGGGTTGTCAAACCAATCGTTATCTATATCCCTAAAGTTTAGCAGCAAAATCCTCCTTTTGTATGACACACTACATGGAATCCCAATATATAAAACAAGATAAATATGACTGTAAATAAATTTTATCAATAGTTATAACATTTATAACATTTACTATAAAGCAGAAGAATTCACAATGACATGTCAAAGCCTTGGAGAAGTCCAGAGTTAATGGAATAACTATTTATCCAACTTCTCCAGAAACTTCTAAACTTACTTAGCTTCGGATGCCCATTAGCATCTGAGAGACCAGAACACATGGAGAAACACACTGTCATACAATTAACTGCATAGTTCTTTTGATGAACCAATAGATTTCCCTTAGTTTGCATCTTATTGCTAAATAAAGAAAAGCAATTGTTATTTTTTGAGCCATTCCACTCAACCACGTCACCCGGATACAGCCAAGCTTATTAAAACAGTTGGCATCATTCACAGCATCTGTGCTAAGGAATGGACCTGTGAGAGTCCCAATACCTCACTAAATCCTGGAGGCCTTAATGGAAATTAAGGCAGTGGCGGCACACGGTGGAAACTGACTACTAGAGCAAAAAGTCACTATTGCCAGAAAGTCTGCCCTTCTTTTATTTTTCACAAGTTTTATTGACATATAATTCACATGACATAAAATTCATCCTTCTAATGAATATTCATTCAGTGGTCTAAAAATATTCATCAATTATGTGGATATATCACATTTTGCCCATCCGTTCATCAATTGATAGATATTTGTGTTGTTTCTACTTTTTCAGCTATTTTGGAATGATGTTGACATGAACATTTGTACACAATCTTTTTGGGGTGATAAGTCTTCATTTCCTTTGGCTATATACCTAGGACTAAAATTGTTAGGCCATATGGCAGCACTATGTTTGCCACTCTCAGGAGTTGCCAACTATCATCATTTTACTTCCCAAGAGCAATGAATGAGGGTCACAATTTTTCCACAACTTTGTTGTCTTGGTTAATCTGTCTGTCTGTCTGTCTCTCTCTCCTCCCCCACTCCCCACTCTCTTTCTCATTTTAGATATCCTAATGGCTGCCTGCATGCCTTTCAATAGAAGAAAATCAATTTATTAGATGCTTAATGATTAAAGTTGTTCATCCATGATTCAGTTGCATGCTTTAAATTTAAGACTTCCTGAAAAGGTTCGACTACTGCAGGAAAAAAAAAAGAGGAAAGAAGGAAAGGAGAAAGGAAAGAAGAATGTGACACCCAAGGAAAATTTACCTCATCGGTTTTGTCCTCAGTGCTGTCTTTAAACTCTCTATAGTTTTACTTCTTTCTTCTTCTTCTTCCTTCTCTAAAGCCAATAAAGATTTTCTCTATGCAAAGAAAACAGAAGTTACCTCTTCAAATCATCTAGTTTTTAAATTATTGTACAAACAAGACAAGCCCACAGATTACATGCTACTGTTACTTTAAATCTATGTGATTAAGACTTACTGAAGTCAAAATATAGACCCACACCACCAATAATTCCTTAAGTTCTTTGTCTCTACTGTAAGTCAGGCACTTCAAATTTTAAATAATGCTTTGAGGAAATGTTTAGAAATTTTAGTACAGATTAAGTTGCTCAAATGTTTATATAACTATTCCATAACTACACACTAGTGTAGACATTAGTATTTACATTTGATAGAAAGAAGACTGGACTTGTAGTTTAGTATAGCACCCTGGCAATTAAAGTTAACTCTATCACACTATCCGAGGAAATAGTCAGCAATTTCCCCATGGTACTGCTCTTTTCTCAGTTGAAAAGTGTAATCTAGATCAAAAGGATTTTGTTACATTAAATTATTTTTTAAGAGGAACAATTAAACTGGAGCTGATATTTCTTCCAGAATAAATGTTTTAACGTCTTAAAATGATTCATCATTTAGCAATTGGGGTATGGAGTGAGTGTGTTTGTGTGTGTGTGTTTTCCTTCCCAGGGAGCTGCTACAGCAGTGCTACTCAAACTTTAACGTGGATATTAAAATCACCTGGGGAATCTTGTTAAAATGCAGGCTCTAATTTGGTAGATCTGAGATGAGGCCTGAGATGCTGCAGGAGCAAGGTTGTAAGTAAGATCTCAGCCATAAATGCTAACAACATTTATAATCTTTTCCACCCTGTTTTACTCCATGATCACCTACCTGTACTAAAGTACCCTAGTCTTATGGTGCCAGGAGCCTGTACCCATGGAGCTACTGGTCCCTGGTTCCTACTCTGAACACATCTTTGTCCCATCTCCTTTGCCTTATGTTACCAATTTTGATAAAAAGCTTGGTTGGGAAACAGACTCAGGTGACTGCATAGAAAAAGAAAAGCTTGCCTCTTATTCATAGGACTTAATGATTCAGTCTGTCCCTTTTGTTTCAGGACCACAAATCATTAAGGGAAACCTTACATTTTAAAATCAGTAACATCCGCATAAAATAACTAAATCTTAATTAAAACCTAAATTTGACCTTATAATGACAAAGGTAAAGCCTAAAGCAAATGAATGTATCAGTGTCATTTATGAATGGCAATTGAAATAAAAACCAGTAGAGTCTTGTTTTTTAACATGTTATTGTTTCTGCTAAAGCTGTCGTCTTGTTGGTGATGTGTCTGGACAGCTGTCAACAGAGGACAGTAGGGGAAGAATCTGTATGCAGAAATAGCCAATGAATTCCTCCAAAGTGCTATAACACCCATCTCCTGGAAAATTCAACATAAATAACAGCCAAAGGCATTTAATCTCCAGTGGCATCACTGAGCTCATTTTGGAGTCTTAACTAATCACTTTGAATCTGCAACTGAGAATCAGCCTTTTATGAATATCGCTCCCAAAATTAAAGACACACATTTTAACTGTGGTTTTCAAATACTAGATGAAGATGCATGTACTTATCCTTGTAGCAATCATGTAAAGGGTGGAACATCGTAATAAAAGTGGACTACATTAAGAATCTCTCCTGTAGAGGTGGAAGATTTATGAACTGCCACAGACAATTAAATGGGAACTTACCATTACCCTCTGCTTAAAACAGAAGAGACCATGATCTTTTCAGTATGTGATACAATTAGATTTGGATCTAAGATTGCATTTATTGTGTTAAGAAAACTGAGGATATGTAGATGAACCTGACATTCTAGTGCAACTTTTCAAAATAAAGTTGTTTATATAAAATCTGTTTTCAGGCTTCATATTTAGAAAGAAGGTTTAATTTGCAACTTTTAGTAGATAAGGGAGATATGCCTACCTTTCTAAAGATAATCTGCATATCAAATAATTAGTATGCACCTTGGCATGTACAGAACAGACCTTGTGAAGGTCATTTCTGCTGTTCTCCCTAAGTATTTACTCACATGATGAAGTGGGCAAAGGACAAAACTTATACTGGCAGAGGACCTTTCAGTCAAAGCCATTAAAGTATACACTGGAACTGGGTGAGAGATGCATGAATGTGGCACAGAAAACATTCTGAGTAGGAAGTCTGAACCTAAGCTCTGGTCTGAAACATTTCCTTGGTGTGAAATTGATAAGCCTTCCCTCTAAGCACAATGAACTTCACCTCTCATCCTCCTTCTGGAGAAAGCACAGAAAAGTCACATACAAAGAAAGCTCTGGTCCTTAGAAAACCTGTTGGGCTGTCCTCTATTACACTGTCTTTTACTTTTTAAAAGCCAACATCTCACTCAGGGGTCCTTTAATAAACAAAGCAGTCTTGTTATGAGGTTTATGAAAAGTAACTGAACTTGATCCACAAATTGCAGTCTTCATAGACTAGTAAGTGTGGTGGTTGTGACCCACACTGTTTATCAGACTCTTGAGGCATTAAAGATAACAGGTGTCTGCCCTCAGAAAACTTGACAGTGTTAACCTAGGAGGAGCAGAGGGTCACTGACCTCTTTCATATGCCACAGGGATTTAAAAAGGAGTTAGTTAGAGGCAAATTGAAAGGGGTCTGAACTCAAATGGATAGGTTTAACTTTCTAATCGATGAACTTGGGTAAGGTAACCCTCATTTGAGTCTCAGACTCTTTACATATAAATAGCACTTACAGCATGGGGTGCTGGTAAGGATTTAAAACATGTAAAATGCCAGTTATACTGCTGTCACGCCAGGCATCCTCAATAGCAGTAATTGCCAATGATGTTGTAGACAAGAGATACATGCCTCTTCAGCAGTTCCCTAAGTAGAGAGCCAAAGAGCTGGGCCAGAAAAGGATTTGGAGGAATTGTGCACCTTTGCAGTCCCCAGGGGCTATGTGTCAGGGGTTTAGGCTGTGTGCTGTGGGAATTCTCATTGCAGATGTCAGAGAGATTAGCCAGAACTATGAAAGGAGGTGGTGGCAATCAGTGTGGTGAGAAAAAAAGAAAGAAAGAAAGAAAATTCAACAGGGTTTCTGGTCTCATCAGGTCTCCTTGTTCCTTTAGGTATGCAGGAGTTTTGAGGCCTCATTAAGTCAAGAATTAATGTCCTTTATCTTTGATCCTGGAAAGATAGTAGCTCAGTTCTAAAATAAGGATTAGAGTGCTTCATTAGGTGTTTGACACATAAAAGACAGCAAAGTCACACAATTTAATGGCATTGCCATGCTCTGGAGAAGGACTTCAGATTAGGAACCAAACATAATTAAAATGTAAACCACTCAAGAATGTTGCAATGAGCTATCCAAGGAGCTGGAATGAGGAGGGAGGATTCCAAAGGAGGGCTTCACACTGGCATATCCCAGACTCTGTACCTCAGGAATGAGCCAAGTCTACTCCAGACAAGGCAGGAATTAAGTTACTAAAGGACAAATGAATGTAACTGTCCCAATATTTGAAGAAAGAAAAACCCATAATTTTCTAGCAGGGATTCATTAATGAAAAAGAAACTTCTCTTGTTAGACATCAAAGCATGCTGACTTAATTACAAAGAAAGTCTGTCTGATAGGATCTCCTCCCCCAATAGTCAGAAATAAGAATTCACAAAATAGCCTTTATATGCAAAAAATGTTAAATGGCTCCAAATCATTATTGCTTGGACAGATGCACAGAAAATCCTTGGTGATCATCAGAAATCTCACATTCACTTAGCATATTCACATACATGCTGAGATTACCCTTTCCTCATTTTTGGCATTGTGTACGATGCACTGAACAGTAAGGATTTGGTACTCGTTTTCTGTCCTTGTAGGCTAAAAACTCTTCAGGCAAAAACTTGTGCAGCTTCTTCCAGAATTTATACAGCCCTGTTCACATTTACCAGGCTTTTTACTATTATACACATACAACAGCAGAAAAAGCATCTTCAAAGAAAAGACTGGAGAAGTTAACTAACAGTCAAGGCGTCTCAAAGTTTTGCAAAATTGTGAATGAGTCACATGTTCTAGTCAGTTTTTAACTTTTGCAGTTGCAGCAGCAAAATACTAGATAATCAAAAATGTTTGCTTCAAGTGGTAAGAAATTAACTTTCCATAAGGACTCTGGAAAAGGCAGGAAAGAGGTAGGGGGAAGGCATCATGGAAACTATCACCCACTGGGATGTTCTAAACTTACAGTTGGATAGAACAGATTGATTCACAGTCATGAGTGTGCCCACTGAAGCAAAGACTATGGGCAACCTTCAATTTCAACCACTAAGGCTCAAAGGCTGATAACTTATTATTCATTTTTTTTTTTTGCTGTGAATTTTTAGCTGTGACTAATTGAGGCCCCTCAAGCTGCTTAGAATGCTAACATCACAAAGATAACCATGTGATCAGAATTCACATTTTAGATATTGAGAATGCATTTTAAACAACAACTGAGCCAAAAAGCTATGTGCCAAAGCTTTCCTAAGGAAATCTCAGCACTATTACTACTATTATGCCTTTTCATTAAACCACTTATTCCATGGATTTCTTACCTGTTTTATGAGAAAAGAGCATTTTGTCTCCTGAAAAATAAATAGGACAGGAAGGACCCAAGTTTCCAGTAGGAAAGAGAATGGGAGGAGTGAAGAAATAATTTTTGTTAAAAAAACAAAAAAAATGTTAAACTTTTTTAAATGATAGTAACTTTTAGGACAGTGTGGCAAATCTCCAAATGACCAGTTAGAGCGATTGCAAGTTAAGAATGAATACAAGCCAAATTTCAGATTATGTTTCCTTTTACAACACTAAAGCCAATTATATTTTAGTGTGTGTAGACTTTATTTTAAACATACTAGAAAAATCACTTTGCCAAGAAATACTTCTGCCCACTTATTTGCCCTGCACCCAATACCAAGTGTCTGGAATGGTGTTTGGGAAGGTAAATGACATTTGGCAGATCTTACTCAATCACATTTATTGTGAAACTGTGTACTTTGTATTGGGTTTTAAACCATGTGTCACAGAACATAAATTATACCTACAGCAGCCATGGAATTCAGTTGATCAATGTAGAACTCAGGCCAACTTGTAGCTCCCTTGTTTTCTTCCTGGTCCTATGAAGAAAAAGGGAAAAGAAGTGATATATTTCACCAGAGGTCTATAGACAGCAGAACATCTGACTTCCAGAGCATCTAGACAATGGTCAATACAACCCACTAGAAGACATTAGGATAGAAGATATTCATTTTTACTTTTTTTTCTGCCCCATGCACGTCGCCCCATTCACAATACAGACCAGGCACAGGGCCTGGGTTGAGATGTATATGGGGTAAATTTACTTTGCCTTCTCTTTCTATACAATCAGTGTAAGAACACAGTCTGTGTAAGCACCAGGAGGCTGAAGACACTTATTTTTAAATGTTGGCTTTAAATCATCAAAATTTCCACCTGATTTGGGTGGTCTTCCCAATCCAATTTCCACAGAGAGTGCTAAAGTCTTCGTTGTGCCAAGGAAACATTTTCTGAACCATGGATGAAGAGGAATTAAATGGGAATTTAGCCACACCATGGTGTGAAGTTGTTTTCCTGTATGAACACAGTAACATTGAGAAGGGCACTGAGAACAAATGAACACTAAGTCCTGTGTCACGCTGAGGACAGTACTGACATTACAAATCTGTATGAAATTCACAAGAGAAGAAAACTTGTTTTAAAACTGACCACAGGACACAGCCAGTTGCTAACTTACTTTTTCAGTTAGTTTATTCAGTCTCCAGCAGACAGTAAAAAGTTTAAAGTAGGATTTCATTTGATATGGTGAAAACTAGGTTACTGCTTCAGATAAGGATGTAGAATAAAGCCTGACACTGAATGCAAGGTACTAAAATGAATACACATTAGTCCTGGGCCCTACCCTTCTGCTTTGACAGCTCAGTTTTATGTTTTATGTCTGAGCAGTAAAGAACTGAAACCTAAGAAATTCAGAAATCCTTTTCCTAAACCACCCCAGCCTATCTTAGATCTTACAAACCAGGGTGACCTGGAGCTGGAGCCCCACAGGACTTCTGTGGATGGAGATCTATGCCAATCTAAATCCAAACCTCCAAAACAAGAAATCAGTTGCCACTGCAGCATCAAGCTCACCAAAACATGGAATTGTGGTCAGGGATTTCTATGCATTTTTGCACACCTGTGTGGTTGTTAGTCATCAAACTCAGCTGTTCTCTAGTTTCATGCTCTGAGATTGCCTTAGTACAATGGGTCTCCCGGGACCCTTTAGAGAAGATGCTGTGCCATGGGTGCATAGCTACTTCCTGATGAAGTAATTACTACTTATTTTTTTTATTAGCTTATAGAAGAGCTCTATTTACTGATATTAGAATCTCAGTCCTTGGGAGAGCAGCTTCAGGTAGTGCTTTTAATTTTAATCTTACGCTTTATGTCAACAAAACACCTTCTCTAAGCAAATCTTTCAAGTAGGTCTACTTCGGTGCGATAAAAGAAAGGTAATTCCCAAACTACTTTTTAAATAGTCACAACAAGGGGGCAAAGTAATCATCGCTTACCAGGCCTTAAAAGCTGGCAGTTACTGACATCTGAACTCAGCAGTTGTGTGAACTTCATCTAGAGAGGGTACAAGCCTCGGACCCACAGCTACTACAGCTGTGGCTTTGAAGTAGGACTGGATTACACTTCCCTTGTTTAAGAAAGTTTAAGAAATCTGTTGGATTTTTTAGAACAGCCCTTGATTATAATTTAGCATGTTAATAAAAATAGCTATGGTGGTAGTTTAAATGCTGACTACTGCTTTCTTCTTAAAAGGGAGCACAAAAATTAGCAAAATCCTGCTGTTACCAATGTATTTAACAAGCCAAAACCCACAGTGATAGTCAATGGTATTTGAACCTATAAAATGAAATAGAAGGTGCCAGATCTTTCTATTCTCCCCGAACTAGGGCAAATTTCCAAAACAAACAAAACCCAAGTCCCATGTCCAAGGTCCCACAAGAGTCTGTTTGTTGAAAGCTTAATAGTCCTGGTAACAGAACAGAGATCATTTTAGAAACTGAAGACCAGTACACAGAAGAGAAACCTTTACACTTTGGAAATGTTTTATTAATGCAAACAGATGAAAAGTAGATGCAGATACTCTCTAGTCAAAATAAGGGGAAGGAAGCTTTGTTTTTGTTTCACAGGCCTCAGTGCTGAGAAAATGAAAAAGATTAGAGTGTGAAAGCTTCTTGTAGATGTAGTAGTTGTTATCACACTGTTACTAGAAGGTAGGGGAATCCTCACAGTTCTTCATTCTGGCAATGCATCTCTAGCTTCCCCTGTGCAGTCCTGGTACTTCCACACAGATGTGTACTGCAGTAGCCAAGTGAAACTTACATCTGCGAACCAACTCCTCCTACTTTTGTATGGCTCTTAAGAGTCTGTGGTTCTGCAGAAGCACAGGCCAAACAGAAATAAACTGTGGTGTGTGTGAGTGGAGGGGTACGCCCTTTTGAAGAGCACAGAACACTGACAAAGGCCAAGGGGGGACATTCTCCTAAGGTTATAACCTTCCAGAGGGCAACTGGGTCCTATATATTAGGAGCCTCTAACGTGTTTCTTTAGGCCATCTATCTCAATCTATTTACTTTTCCTAGGGAAGCAAGTGGAAAAAATATCTAAGATTCTACAAATATATTAATTGTAATGGAAGCAACAGCAAGACTCAGCACTTAACTCGCTTACTGTGTGTCGAATACTGTTCTAAACATCATACTCTTCCTTTAGTCTACCCTATGAGGTAGGTATTGTTATTATATGAATTTTACTGAAAGGAAACAAGGCAGAGAGGCTAGGTGATTTGCTGAAAGTCATGGTGCTGAAAATTTAGAGCCAGTGGGAAGGAATCAAGGCAACCTCTCTCCTAAAATTAGACCTCAATGTATTCACAAGCAGTGCACATTAACTGCAAAGCTGTCCTTCATTCTCAACCACTTCAGTAGAAGAGAACTCAAACATGGCCGGTGGCCAAAAATGAACTCACCTTTCTCCAAACCTCTGCTGATATTTTTGCTACACTCACCATTTCTGAATATAATTTTAAAATAAAGCCTGGTGTTTCACCTCAGGTTACCTCTAATCCCTTCTCTAGGCTCTTTCTGGGAGAACTTCTTTGCCCCTTTATCAATACCATATCTATCTTAATACAGCTAGCTGCATGGGGAAAGCAGTTAACACAGCTGTGTTCTGTTCTGTTACATACCTCAGTTTAAAGGTTATCTTCATGGGGATTTCTGAACAGCACTTGAAAATTAACTGTTAGCACTGAGCAGTTCTGGACACTGGAATTGCAAACAAATACCTCCTTAAATCACACACATCCTGTCCTATTTTGGGCTGCCTCCTTTTACCAATTCCATTAGAACTTTTCTCTAAGCAAGAATATTGGCTTCATTCTCTTTTTAAAGGAAGAACTTTTCCCTGTTTAAGACAGATTATTGGCAGGACTGGGAGTGTGGCTCAAGTAATAGAAAGCTCGTATAGAAAGCATGGGCCCTGAGTTCAAACCTCAGTATGGGGATAGAAAGGAGAGGTAGATTACTGGCAAGAGTTAAAGACATCTAGAAAAAGTTGTCCTATGAGAATACAAATTCTATCACTCACATTTAATGCTCTTCTTAGTCTACCTATAGAATGGAAAATTCATATTAAAATTTAGTGTCACTTCCTTTTGAAAATATTATAAACATTTAAGTTTATGGGCCTGCCTTCAGAAGGTCTGTTAGATAGTTACAATTGAGAAAAATATTATAGGTGATTAAATTCTACACTGCTTTTTGTTTTTTCAAAATATTTACATGTATCACTTATTTTTAGAGAAAGGGTATGGTAGAAAGATCACAATTAGAGATTCTTAAAGATGGTATGTCAGAAGTTGCTTTTTGATCTATGGTTTATAATTTTTGCTAAGCATATGCACCTTTGGGGTTATTTTTCTTCTCTCCAAAATAAAACGGTGAGATCAGACTGTTCTAAAGTTCCTACAAGCCCTAAGGTTCTACAGGATTCCAATAGTGAGATATCTTGGGGGAAGCACAATGTTTTCTGTATTTAGTTCTATGTCTCAATTTCTAACAGTCATTTTTAAAAAATTTATGTTGTTCAGTGATTTAGTAACAAAACCGTTTATTTTTAACAGTCATTCTAATAGTCTTTCAATAGTCATCTCAATATTTATTATAATTTCTCTTTCTCTAATCCTGTTCTTCCTGATTCCTTTGGAGTTTGATAGACATCTGTAACAGAATATTCATGACAAGACTTCCTGCCAGATGCTTTTAGCTTTAACCTTTTCCCGACCACCCCAAATTGGGGCAGTGGCGAGTGTGCTAGAAAAGGAAACTTGTACAGTACAGGGGACCTTAAAGAATACTGTTTCTGTTTTTCTTGTGCTATTACTATTATTGTTTTAATCATCCAAATAACTTACGAGGTAAAGAAATACAGTCTTTATAACCTCACTTCATCTCTAATTGGGACATTTTTTATTCTAAATCTCTGGTCAATGACTAGTAAATTTCCAAGAGACCCTCCCCTATCCTTTTAAAAATGGATGCAGGTACATTTGTTTTTCTCAACATCACTCTGACCATGAGAATAAATTTTGCATTGTTTCTTAGTTTTTACTCACTCCCATTGGAGTAAGCATCACAATTATTTCTTGTACCTTGGTCTCTCACTTCACTGTCATCTCTCTCAACTCCTTCCAATTTTACAATGTTCCACTTCTTTCTCCATCAACAGGCACACACTGGAATGACTAGTCACTTACTAGCTATGTGACTTTTAAGCAGGCAAGTTAAGTTGCTTCTTTATGACTCAGTCTTAGTTTTTAAATCTGTAAAATGGGTGCCCGTCTCATAGTGTCATTGCGATGATTTACAAAGGCAATACAAATAAGGACAGCACTAAAAACAGTACACACAGAACATGCTCAATAAATATGAACTATAATGTCAATGATTCTCCAGTTATGACCATTCTAAGTCCTTGTTACTGGAGAGAAAAAAATGATTGAATAAATTACTGTGCAGCCATAAAGAATGAAGTAGAGTTATGAAAT